CAAATTAATTGTTTAACATTTAAAAATTGTAGTTGAACGTAATTGATCAAATGATATTTACATTTAATGTAACAAGGTATAAATAAAAATTATGTTTAACAACTCTATACCGAACTTACCCAAAAAAAAATATTATGTCAATTAAGTATACCAATAATTTTGGCGAAGTTTTCTATAATTATTATTAATCTCTTCCAGTAAAATTTCTAAAAATGTATATAATGTATATATTTTTATATATATATAATTTAATGGATAAAAATCTTATAGATAGAGATTCAATGTTTGTTGCCATTTTGTTGATTATATAGATGGATAAGATCAATTGAATAAGGAGGCAAGTAAGATAAAGTGGTTTTCCAAAAATGATATTACCAGCTTTTATTGGAACAAAAGGTTTGTGGTGACATATCGACGGAATTGCCCTTTGAGACTAAGTTTAGTAGGCCTAAAGAACTATATTAACAAAAACTATACAAGGACTCTAAATAAATAAATTTTAAGTTTCTCGGAATAATATGGCATAGCTGGTGTTGGAACTTAGGGCTTTCTAAGGGTATTTCAAGCATCGTTGCCCTTGTTATTGTTGTTATTATTGCGGCTGCTGCCTTATATACGCGTTGGCGTGGGCGTCGCTGCTGGCGTCGGCGTTAACGTTGTCATGACAGCGGCAGCACAAACACAAGAGTTGGTTACAAATACGTCATCAAAGCGGACCAGATCGACGGCAGAATCAGGTGGAACGGCGGCAGAGACAGCAAAGCCAGCAAGCCATAACGGGGATGGCAGAGGCAGGAGCAGAAGCAGAGGCAGAGGCAGAGGCAGAGCCACCAACACAACCACACACGCACAGCTGTCAGCACGATCGCTATTCCATATATTCTTTTTTAAAAACCCGACTTCTGACGCCGACGTTTACGTCCACGCCAACGAAGGCAGCGCTCACCATGTGCCAATTCCACTCTGTTTCAGTGCTTCTATTCTCGCCTGCAAAAAAAAAAAAAAAAAAAAAAAAAAAAAAAAAAACAAAGGCAGCGCAGCGACGTCGACGTTGGCTGAGGCGTCAACACCTGGCTAAAGCCACACTTGAAGCATTTTAACTTGGCCCGAACGCTTTTAGTTGTTTTCGAGACGCCGCCGCACACATTTCAATCCCTCTCCATTAGCATTCGCTTACAATCGCATGCGTTCCCCAGAAACCGCGGATTCTAATTCTACGGGAACGCGCGTCAAAGCCCTAAAAATCTTTTTATAAAAGTGTGTAATTCAGCAAAACCCCACATCAATGCCAAAGTCAAAGCCACCGAAAGTGATAAAATCAATTAATTCCACTCCGAATGATGTCAGAATCAAAATGCAAGATCTCTCTGTTTTCTGATTTATTAAATGCCACCAATTTCAATTGATTTAAATCTCTTGCAATTGAGTTCCATTCCAATTAAATTTTATGACGAATTTATTACCAAAGAGCGGATTGCTTCAATTCGTTCGTTTGTTTGCAAACAAAATGCCCTGCTAATGGAGTCAAGTAGCTGTAAAATGATGACGTACCACCCTGCTGATCTCCCGGCCCTCCGATTCAATCTCGTTTAAGTCTCGGGTTATTCGCCGCTGTTCCAGTTCGTAGTTTTGAAAAACATTTTTTTGTGTGTGTGTCTCGTATTTTATTTTGCAATTTTGAACGCTCTCCTCCAATGGTTTATTGCCTGTCTCGTTGTTTTGGAATGGCAATTCATTTTAATTTATTTGCCCACGAATCCCTGAAATATGACAATATTTGGTACAATTTTGATCATATTCATTAAGATGTTTATAATTTTGTTTGGTTTTGTTTTCATTCTTCTCTAATAAGTCAAAAATTTTATAACTTATTACTGAATCTAAACAATGAATACCTTACCCAAGTGATTTAATACTTTTATGCTGTGTTCTCTGTCTTAGTCGACATATCCATAAGTCTAATATTTTTCTTCGAAACTAATATTTGATGTGATTTTAATAATGTCCTAACTATTATTAAATAATTTTAAATTTTTCATTATGCTTTAGCGTATGACCCCGAGATCTGATAATTCCTTGATTTAATGCTTCATGTCGTTGAGCAATGCAAATTGGCAAGAAACACTGACAATCACCCATCTCCAAAACAGTAGCTAGTCAAAAAACCAAATAGGCAACGACCAGTCGAAGCTTTGCCGCCTTTCAAAATAATCATTGGGAATGTCAAGCCATTAACGCCTCTTTGAGACGCCTCCACAGACACTTTTTTTGAGCTGTTCGGGCCTAGGTTGTTTCTTATTTCTCTATTTTTTTGTTTGGCCTAATCACATAAAAACAACGCAGATCGTTTATAGTGTGCTTAAAACACTGCAATTAGCATTTTTGGTTGTGTGGGGATTTGAATGGTTGATATGTGTATTTGTTTGTCACGGTGCTGCGCAGGCGTAAAACGCAGCTACAACCTCCAGTTAAAGTCAGATCTCCATTACCAATGCAAAACAAACATATGTGTCGTGCTTTTCGTTGGGTGGGCGATCTTTTTGGCCTGGCCAACATTTTTATTGATCTTGAGCCATATAGATTAATACTCTGCGAGTATTTCAATTGATAAAGTACAGTATATGAAGTCTTTGAGTTTTTTGCTTACGATTTGTTTCGATTTTTTTTAACTAAGGATTAGGGGCAAATTAATAAAATTTGGAAGTGTTATTGTCAGTTTCGGGGAAGGTACTAGGTTTTTTTTAAGTATTTTAGAAAATAAGTACCAATTTACCATTTGTCAAGTAGCTAGGTGAGGTAAAACGTTCCAAAAAAGGTTAAGAAAATGTTGTAATACAATTATTTTTTAAATTTAATCAATTTGAGGTTTATTTGCTTTGTACGAAGTTGCAAATGTATTGCCATATTGTGTGTATACACAATTGCTCTGGCAATTTAGTCTGGTTGTATAAACATGTAAAAACAAACTATCTTGCATATGCGGTGAAATAAATTTTACCTCAAGTTGCATTGCAATTTTCTAGTTTTTCTTAGCATATTGGCAAAAATTATACAAAATTTAATTTAGTGGTGTCAAGCTATTTTGAAAAAAAAAACAAGTACAATATTTCAGTACCTAAACACCTAACATATCAGTTTTTAAAGATAAATAAAAATCTTTACCTTTTTATTACCTAGGTTAAGTATAAGGTATCTACAAAAATTTAAAAGAGTTTTCTATAAAATAATAGCTCGATTTGTTAGAATTTTTCGATTTGTGTTTGTTAGAGTGGTTGAGCTTTCGATATGAATATATATATTGATTATATCAATAATTTCTGTCCCATTGCGATAACATTATTCTTTAGTTCATTTTTAGTTATTTAACTTTTATAACGGAGCGTTAAACTATTTTCGTAGTTTAGCCCCGAAACCATTTGCCATAAATTTAAGTTATGTATCTAGATAATCATCTATACGTACATGTATTTCTGCACCTGTCTTCCTATATTACAAATATGTAAAACAAATGCTGAATAGCATGGATTCCCGGTTTCAATACCATATCGTTCCTCTTTCCAATTTTCTATGCAAAATAGGCTTGCGTGTTCCGAAACTAATGAATCTCTGCCCATGAACCAGCGGTGTGCATTAACTTTTTGCCGTGAATATGTACACATATACAACAAAAAAAAGTACGGCAGCAAAAGAAGCAACAAATAGCGCCAAGAGCAAGACAGACAGTCAGTTGAGATAATTATGTGTACGTACAACACAATAAATAATTTGCAACAACAATGGTGATCCTCCATTAACCCCTCACTCCCTTACTTCGACTCCGCTCAGTTAATTTTACTCTGCTTTGGTTCTCGATGGGGTTCTGACAAAGTCTAGGGGAACGCCACATAGAACAAGACATCCGGTGTCGGTTTGGGATTTGACTTTGGCTTTAGCTTAGGCTTAATTAAACTCAAATTGTGCGGACCGGCAAATAATTCAACTACTATAACATTGAAAGTCACGCAGAAAAACGAAAATCAGAGCAAAAGCAACGCGACAAAACGAAACAACGAAACGAAAAAACCCAAAACGAAACGAAAAAAAGTGAAAAAAAACGAAACCAACGATAGAGCATCGATAACTGCAATTGCAGTACGTGTACTGCAATAACAGTCAGATTACTGTGATAGCATGCACTCCAGCTCGCAATCGACGATGAAGCGCACTCAGCAACTGGTGCGGCAGACGAACGGAAGCGCAGGCGATGTTCTGAGTAGCGGATCTGAGGTGGTCCACTCGTCCCGGGGTCCGGCGATTACCACCAATATCGATGACTCCAGTCTGCGGTATCGCCATGAGACGAAGAGGGAACGTACTGTGGAAGCGGTGATCACGGATTATCCTGGCGTATCTTCCCTGGGAAGCGTTCCACATGAACGGACAAACTTTGAGCGAACTGTTACTTTCCAAGATCCCGCAGGCAATTCCCGTCGCATCTCGGAGAGTCGAGCCTTGGTTCCGACAAGTGGAGGAAGCTCCTCCGCCCATTACCAACAGGTGACGAGGAACAAGCGTATCTCCACGGAGGTTTTGGGCTCCAGTGTGGAGAGCACCAAAACCTCGCAGCGGGCACCGAATGGCCATCGACGTGTGACCACCCATATTGTCCGGAAAGTAACTACTTTAAGTCGGGCGGAGGAGAACGCTCAGCCCGCCGAGGATTTGCTGCCTCCGGCCAAAATGATTCGCAGCTCGGAGCTGGAGTACCGTCGTGCTCTGCCACTGGCCATTGAGTCGTCCACGCAGCACAGAGAGGTAAAAAGCGGACTTCGCAATGGGTAGAAAAGATGTAGACCACAGTTTTGCTCAATTTTTAGCTTAGCTCAATCTCAACAGAACATAAATCGGGAAACTGTAGACTCCCCCCATTTTAAGCTCCACGCATTCAAAAAATGCGCTTCTAAACATAACTTTTAACTTTACATATCCACTAACATTATCTTTACTTCCACCTCCAAAAGATCTCCGATATTGTTGTGGGCAAGGAAGACAACGTATCCGCTCGGGAGGCCCTGCTGCGATGGGCGCGTCGCTCGACAGCACGTTATCCGGGCGTGCGTGTTAACGATTTCACGTCGTCGTGGCGAGATGGATTGGCCTTTTCGGCGTTGGTGCACCGCAACCGACCGGACTTGCTTGACTGGCGAAAGGCAAGGAACGATCGGCCGCGTGAGCGCCTTGAGACGGCCTTCCACATTGTGGAGAAGGAGTACGGAGTGACGCGACTGCTGGATCCCGAGGGTATGTCAAACACCTAACCCATATTCGATGATGGATCTAATGATAAACACTTCCTTCTAGATGTGGACACCAACGAGCCGGATGAGAAGTCCCTTATCACGTACATCTCATCGCTGTACGATGTTTTCCCGGAGCCACCCTCCATCCATCCACTGTTCGACATGGAGTCACAACGTCGCGTCCATGAATACCGCGACCTGGCCCAGCAGTTTATCTACTGGTGCCGCGAGAAGACTGCCTATCTGCAGGAGCGCTCCTTCCCGCCCACCCTCATCGAGATGAAGCGTCTATTGAGTGATCTGCAGCGTTTCCGCAGCGAGGAGGTCAGTGCCCGCAAGCGCGAGAAATCCAAACTTATCCAGATCTACAAGGAGCTTGAGCGCTACTTCGAAACGGTGGGTGAAGTGGATGTGGAGGCCGAACTGCGGCCAGATGCTATCGAGAAGGCCTGGTATCGCATGAACACGGCGCTGCAGGATCGAGAGGTCATACTGCAGCAGGAGATTGAACGGCTCGAACGGCTGCAGCGACTGGCCGATAAGGTGCAGCGCGAGATTAAGCATGTGGATCAGAAGCTGACCGATCTGGAAACGCGCATAGGCGAGGAGGGTCGGCGTATCGAGCGACTACATCCTGTGGACGCCAAGAGCATTGTGGAGGCTCTCGAAACCGAGATCCGGCACCTAGAAGAGCCCATTCAAGACATGAACCAGGACTGCCATGTGCTCAACGAGGGACGCTATCCTCATGTCAGCGAGCTGCACAAGAAGGTCAACAAGCTGCACCAGCGCTGGGCTCAACTGCGCACCAATTTCCACACAAACCTGGTACAGAAGCTGTCCGGTTTAAAATATCCCGTCCATGAGACCACTGTGACACGTCAAACGCGCATGGTGGTGGAGTCCCGACAGATCGACACGAATCCCCATTTCCGTGATCTGCAGGAGCACATCGAATGGTGCCAGAACAAGTTGGTGAGTACCGCGAGCCTTAACCCATCTTTGGGTTACATTTAATTGTATATATCCTTTTTTTTTAGAAACAATTGCTTGCCGCTGACTATGGCAGTGATCTGCCATCGGTCAAGGAAGAACTGGATCGCCAACAGCACGAGCACAAAATCATCGACCAGTTCCACACGAAAATACTCAATGATGAACGCCAGCAGACCAAGTTCTCCGGCGACGAGCTGGCCCTCTACCAGCAGCGTCTCAACCAACTGCAAAAGGTTTACGCCGAGCTGCTTAGCACCTCGACGAAGCGTCTGTCTGATCTGGACTCACTGCAGCACTTCCTGGGACAGGCGTCATCGGAACTTCAGTGGCTTAATGAAAAGGAACAGGTGGAAATCACACGTGACTGGGCGGACAAACAACTCGATCTTCCCTCCGTGCACAGATACTACGAGGTAAGTGATAACGGTCGCCGTAGAGATTCTCGTAGAGCTAGTTTTATATATGTGTGTGTTGTGCTTCTATCCGATTACAAGCGTGCATTTGGTAATGGCGACGAGGTAAGATTTTGATTGGTTTATAAATAGCAAAGAAATTTTCTATTACAAAAGAGAGCAACCAACCAAGTGCACTACTCGACAACTTTTTATAACACTTTCTAATTAATATTGCGTTAATTCCCCCAGAACCTTATGTCCGAACTGGAGAAGCGTGAGATGCACTTTGCCACCATCCTGGATCGCGGTGAGGCCTTGTTGAACCAACAGCATCCGGCCTCCAAGTGCATCGAAGCCCATCTGACCGCCCTGCAACAGCAGTGGGCCTGGCTGCTGCAGCTGACTCTCTGCTTGGAGGTACACCTGAAGCACGCCACCGAGTATCATCAGTTCTTTGGCGAGATCAAGGATGCCGAGCAGTGGTTGGCCAAGCGCGACGAAATACTCAACAGCAAGTTCTCGCAATCAGACTTTGGCTTGGATCAGGGTGAATCTCTTTTGAGGGGAATGCAGGATCTGCGGGAGGAGCTAAATGCCTTTGGTGAAACAGTGGCCACTCTGCAGCGGAGGGCGCAGACGGTGGTACCCCTAAACAAGCGCCGCCAACCAGTGAATCGTCAGGGACCCGTTCAGGCCATCTGTGCCTACAAACAGCAGGGTCAGCTACAGATCGAGAAGGGTGAGACTGTAACTCTGCTGGACAATTCGGGACGTGTGAAATGGCGCGTGCGCACGGCCAAGGGACAGGAGGGGCCGATACCAGGTGCCTGCCTGCTGCTGCCTCCTCCCGACCAGGAGGCCATCGATGCCGCCGAGCGACTGAAGCGACTGTTCGATCGATCTGTGGCTCTCTGGCAGAAAAAGCATCTGCGGCTGCGACAGAACATGATATTCGCCACCATTCGCGTGGTTAAGGGCTGGGACTTCGACCAGTTCTTGGCCATGGGACCTGAGCAGCGCACGGCCATCCGACGTGCCCTTAACGACGATGCCGATAAATTGCTGAGCGAGGGCGATCCCAACGATCCGCAGCTGCGACGCCTGCGCCGCGAAATGGACGAGGTCAATCGTTTGTTCGATGAGTTCGAAAAGCGTGCGCGCGCTGAAGGTGAGTGTGGGAGTATTCGTATATCCATACGAACCCAAAGGGTAGGATATAGTTTTCGCCTCGCTTTTCAATTAACGGCGCTCGCCAGCTGTCCAAAACAGTTAATTGATGGAGGCTAATTGAATTTAATGCCTGAGTGTTTGCTCTGGGGCAAGTGACTAGCAGGAAGCCAGAATATGACTTAGTCTTGTCAAACCCAGTCAACTATGAAGAAGTTGTTCGCGAGTGTAAAAACAAGGGGTACTCTTGGCAGTTTTAATGATATCTGATCATACAGAGCTCTTGACTTTTTACTGATAATAATTCTTCCTTTTTTTGCACAGAGGAAAGCAAGCAGGCCAGTCGCATCTTCACCGAGGAATGCATTGCCATTAAGAGCAAACTGGAAGACATGGCCCGTGAGCTGGATCAGATTATACTGGCTCCGCTTCCACGGGATCTGGACTCTCTGGAGCATGTGCTCGAGATTCATTCGGACTACGAGCGCAGGTTACACCTATTGGAGCCGGAGCTAAAGCATTTGCAGGAGACCTTCCGCACAATTGCCCTGAAGACACCCGTGCTTAAAAAGAGCCTGGACAACTTGATGGAGCTGTGGAAGGAACTTAACACCCAGAGCGGCCTGCACAAGGACCGCCTAAAGCTGCTCGAAGCCTCACTGGCTGGCCTGGAGGACAATGAACATGTGATTTCCGAGCTAGAGAACGAGCTGGCCAGGCACCAGGATCTACCTTCGACTGCTGAGGGTCTGCAGCAAGTGTTCAAGAAACTGAACCACATGCAGGACATCATTACACAGCAGCAGCCGCAGATGGACAAGATGAATGATGCGGCCGATCAGCTGGGACGCATGGGAGTCCCCACCAAGGTGCTGGGAGACCTCAAGCGTCTGCACTCCAACGTGGAGCGCCTTAACACGCGCTGGAGTGCTGTGTGCAACCAATTGGGTGAAAGGTTAGTTCACTGGCGCCACCTGCTCTCCATTTGTGTGTGTCGCCTCATTGGCGGACACAGATGGATATGAACCTGACTCGCTAACACCGTTGTCACTTTACTTTTTCAGAATGCGATCATGCGAAACGGCTATTGGACTGATAAAGAATCTCCAGTCAAGCGTGCAAGTGGAGGAATCATGGGTGGATGGCACGACGGAACGACTTTCCGCCATGCCCACCGCCACTTCGGCGTACGAGCTAGACGTGAGTACAGAGACGCTGCCCCTATATTATTTCTATTACCTTTCCGATCAGCGATAGTCTCAATTCATAGATAAATCTAAATCCTTGTACAGTTTTGCTCAGTTTTAGTAGCCCCAGAAGGTTCCCCAAAGACCTCCTTGCGTGGGCCAAACACAAAGTATATATACGTAGTCTATAATTAGAAACCAAAGTAGCCCATGTCCAATGTAGTTAGCTCCCATAGTTTTTCCTCTTACTTTTTGTTGGGATAAAACCCGATGGTGTTGGACACGTATCAGTATTCCTATGTATAATTTATTATATGCGTATATATGTTTTGTTTTTTGTCTTTGTACTCCATTTCCATTTGTTAACTGTCCCAAAAAAATGAGAAACAATCTCTAGTCTATTATACTTATTTTTGCAGTAGTTCTTGTCTAATCCAACAGCAATCTTTGACATGTAGTGCTGGCTACCACCCACATAAACATTATCACATGTACATATATACACAGCAGACAGACCTCCAAATGTGGCCAAGTCGACCACCTACACAAAAATACCCATATACGTAATCCGTAGCGATATTCCCCCTGTCCCACCACAATGTTAATTGATACCAAATATGTGTAGTAGTCTTGAAAATTAACTACTTTTATGTTTGTAGCTTTGGCCAACTAGATTTATAAGCTACACCTATAGGCCGATATCAAATGCTATGGGCTCCCATATTTATATTTATTCTCACCAAGTATTATCGTATTCGTAGTTGAAGACTAATTGTATATGTATTTTTGTCTAATTTTTTGTATTTTCACCAAACAAAAAAACAAAATTTTTCTACACAACAATCAATATTATCACACACTATAAACCAACACAAAATGATCAAATTATAAAAACAAAACAAATGTCCTAAAAATATCAAAAACCAAAAAATACCCCTCAAAAACCATAGAAACTGCTCGGAGCTGCAATCGAACGAAAACCAAAAATCGAAAATGTCAACGTAACTGGAGGACGACTAATACGCGAAGCCAAGGTAAAAAATTGTATGCTTGTTGTTGTGTGATTGATCTTATAGGACTGGCCCATCGTAACTCAACAGCTTTTGGCTCCAGAGATAGGGTTTATCATACGGTTTAAAGTCCTAGTCATAGTCAAAGCTCTGTTGCGATAGGTCAGTTACTGTCCGAGTGCGTTGAAAGTGTCGAGTGATTGTAAACATTCCGAAAAGAAAACACGTTGTACCTCAACAAACCTCTCAGCTATTTCTTTATCGACTTTTCGATATATATTTAATGCTTTTTAAACCATTTACCGGACTTAGAGCTCAAAATCTTAGTTATCTTGCGGTTAAAGGTGCGCCAATAACACATGGGACAAACAAACTCAAACACAAACAAAACCAACAAAACTTACAAAACAACTCAATTAAAAGCATTTTTATCCAAAAAGGAATTTCGTAATTATTAATCAATAAAATAAAAAGCACTAAATATAGCAACAATCCTTTTCCTTACCTGAAAAACAAACCGAATTGGTTTAACACACAAACTTACTAACATTTAACCGAAATTAACCAACCAAACAACAATGTCAACGTGGGACCTCGACTTTCGGGAGTAGATCTACGACAGTAAATGCCTACGCTTCGTGGATTGGCTACTCGAGGCCCGTCCGTCGTTTTCGCCGCCTCGCCGGGATCTCCGGCCGGCGGACTGCGATCCGGGAACGACACAGTTCTACAGCCAACGATTGGACAACCTGAATACGAAATACGAAAGATTGCTGGAACAATTGTCACAGAGGCTTAAAACTGCAATCGAAGTTAATGGCAGCGATGGTCTGGTGAGTAATCCAGGTGTCCCCCCAAAACCCCTTTGAAAGGATCTTTGCGAGGTGACGTCAGCGTCCAATGTGTATGAAACTCGTTGGCTGGGGTAAGGCTCAAAGTTTTAAACTGTGTCGTAATCATCAAGCGGGGTTCAAGTTCAATAAACGAGTTTTCTGCTTTCGTTTTTCTACACGCAAGTCAAGTCGAGTTTTTAAATGCAAATACGTATGTTTCTCTGGTTTCGTTGTATTTCCTTCTCCTTGTGTGCCTGTCTATCTTTATCAGTATCTGCTACTGCTCCGAACGCCCGGTAGTTGATATTATTAAATTAACCTTCAGAATCGGTGCACACTGTCGCCAGAAGCAGCCGTATAATGACATCACATCAATGGCTTGAAATGCCGCTTGCCGCCATAAATCACAAATTGAGTAACTTATAAAAATGAAAACTATTTAATGCTGTCATTTTGGCCGTCTTTAATCCGCGCCGTCAATTGATGCAGTTTAATGTTTTAAATATAAAGTTATATAATCACCGCATTGTGTCAGGAGTTTTGTATGTCTGACCAATTAGGCAAATTGAAGACAGATTTGAAATTAAGAATGACGAATTCTATAAATATTTATGAAGCCACTTTTTTTTCGTTTGAGTTCCTATATACTCAAATTCAATGCCAGGGGACGTCATCAACGTCTTTGTTGCTATTTGTCAACTCTCAGTTTTTTATTTTGCATATCTGTTCCTTCTTCATTTGGCTTTTTTGCTTTATAAAAATAAACTTTTGAAGACAAAAACAAAATGCATAATATAAAAAATACAAAATAAATACATATATTAAAAATAAAAAAAAAAATTATTAAAATTACAATTTTGTAATAATAGAAATGTGATTTTGACAAACATAAGATGTATTTCTTTTAGTTATCTTTATATTTTCGCAGGCAAATTTAAAATGTTTCAACATTCTTAATTTAAGATTTGGACGTTTAGTGCATTTTTTATGAAAAAATAAAACAAAAATAAAAAATTAATAATCTACGAGAGTAAACTTGTAACATCCAAAAAATTATTTAAATTTAGTTAAGTGTTACAGTAATTTCAATTTAATATTTTTCAGATAGTTACATAACAAGTTACTTTTTTTTTCCAGTCAGAGCCACCACTTAAACCAAAAAAAAAAACAAAACAATTACTAGTCCAAACTACTCATTTAAAAAAATTCCTCATTGCCTAAACTTGTTATCAGTAAAACATTTTTAAATAATTTTTTATTAGTTTTTTTTATTTGGGTGTAGTTGATCCATTTCAAAGTCATCCGAAATTGTTGTTTTGCGATCTAAAGATGCTTTACGAAGGTTATGCCTTTGCCTCGAGCGTTGGAGTGACATCATAACTGCTCTATTACCACTTCGCCTTCAACCTAACTTGATATGCAGAGCAGGGGCGGGCGTACAAGCTCTGCTGACTTAACTAGACTGGCAAACCAAATATGTGACTTAGAAGATTAAATGGCGGCACAAACTGGTTTTCTCTTTTCTTCTAATACTTTGTTCTCGACTTCCGTGTATTGTTTTCAACTTTAATTGGACCCAACTCCGTTTATTCCCTTCCCAAGCCCATTTTTTTTTATTTTTCAGGTTATTGTAAATGGATTGTTTTTTTGGCGCAACAGCTGAGGACTTCTCACTGAAAACTAGCCGGCATTTGGAAGCTTTCTCTCTTTGGTCAGTTGTTTCTCTGTATCTCAAAAAGCTCGCTCTTCACTTGGCAAGTTGATTTCATCGGTGGCGCTGTTCCCCTCAGTACCGAAAGCGACGTGGTTGTGTAACGTCGCGTAGCCGCATTGTGTGCCGCCTTGCTGCCGGTTAACGAAATTTAACAAAGGCCAAAACCTTAAAACTTCTGGTTTTGTTAGCTACCAAAGTCAATGTAATTTGAATTCGAAGCGAGCGTGTAATTATGAGTGAATAGTTGTGATAAATAAAAAGGCAAACAACTTCTTGTCCTCAAATACAGAACGTTGCTCATACGCCGCATAGGCAGACATGATGTCACGTATACGGTCGGACAGAAAGTGTTTTTGTGTCGCGTTTCGTGGTCTTGATGCTTTAAATTTCAATTAAGTGCGAAACGCGTCGTATTGGTCTGTGTTGTTTTTTTGTTAATAGAAATTTAAGGTCGCTGCTGCCGACTCTTGTTCCAATTTGAGCCGCAAAGAGTTCTATTTATTATAGCTCGAAGTGAAGTCACTCAAGAGCTTCGCAACACTTTATATAAAACCGAACCACAAACAAAAGAGTACAAAACGAAAATAAAAGAAATACATTATTAATATAGCCTTAAACGTGTCGCGTAAATTGGAATGTTGTTATTTTCGGCAGTCTGTTTGGAGCTATTCAAAGCGCACACACAAAAATAAAGCAAATGAAAGTGAAATATGTTAGTGGGTCAGAAAATTTTAAACATATATAATTTCATAAAAGCATAAAAAAATTAAATTAAAACGAAAGGGCTAAAATGTGGAAACTTCATATATCAATTGTTTCAGTGAATCAGTGAAATTCTTAAATTTTGACTCCTTATCAACCACCGAGATCGCGGAAGTGTCAGGACTGACGATAATCTATGAGGTGCAATCCATCACTCCCAATTTGATTCGATCTGTGGGCAGTTTTTATTTTTGTATGCCTTAAATGCTTTCCCTGTGATTTTATCGATTAAACTAGCTTCTGTGTGTCTGCTTTATATACCTTAATATATATAAATATATATATATATATATATATAAATATATATATTTAGCGGCATTCAAACGGCAGGAACGAAAGCGAACGTTTCGTGGTCTTTGCCTCCAATAAAGCAAAAGAATGGTGTCTATTCTTATGATATAGGCGAGGTCCAATTGCAGGCTGCATGCTGCACGCTCTCTTTAAAGCTTTTCCTCTCTACTTTTTGCTCTTATCCCCATTTAAAGCTGGCACATCGTGGCGAATTGGTCTTGTTATTAGTGTCAAACGCATCACTGTCGACTAGGACCAATAATCTGTTTAATCTTCTTACAAAGCCATGAACAAGAAATCATTGATTTAACTCAGTTTTGCTTTTTTTTCGCTGTACGGGCGCTCGACAAACTTGTTTCATTTATAATCAAATATTTCCCCCGCTGATGACATCATTGTTTTCGTACTCGTATATAATGTCTTTATGTGTGTCGGTGTATGTTTTGTTAATTATAATTTATTTGTTGCTTTTACCAACTCTAGGGCAGCTTTCAAAATTGGCAGTAGTAAAAACAGATTAGTGGTATACTTTGAAAATGCAAATCAAAAACGTTGATTACTTTTGTGAAGTCGTCATTTAATGACTTCATCTGCAGTTCTCATATAAAGTTATAGATGACGTCAATGCCAATTCAAGTTAAGACTACGACCTGCAGCAATATGTTAGACATTTGCCATCGAATTTCTGCCTCCATCAGATGCCTGCAGCAAAAGGCAAATAAAAACGTTGATTACTTTTGAGGAGACGCCATTTAATGACTTTATGTGCAGCCCTCTTATAAAGTTTTAGAGATGACGTCAAGGCTACGACCTGCAGCAGTGTGTTATGCCCGATAAGATGCACTACGGATACCGATACAACCAAAGAACTGTTTCCGGGTATTCACCCGTTTCGTATATAGCGATCGTGGCCAATTGAAAGAGTTTCAACCACATATTTTCAGAGCAATTGCGACCTTCTCCCTGTATAGCGTCATTTCTATTTTCATAAAGGCTTTGGGTTTGCTTTTTGTGTTTTTTTTTTTTTTTGTTTTTTACTCTACTATATGTGTTTTGTGTGCTTCGGTTCGGGGCTGATAATAATGTATCACTGTGTGGGGGCAGAGAAGCGAATCCAGTGAATGGATTGAGTGTATCAACAACAAGAATAGTATACTTACAAATAAAATGCCGGTGGACAATTTTTTTTTAAGCTTTAGATACGCTCCAACTTTTTTTTATTTGCGATATGTCAGGATTTTATCTCGCGGCCATATCAAACCACTTTCACGCATTTAAAAAGTTGAAGTTTTCCCGGGCAACATTAAAGAGACGCAACTATCTTAAAACCGTAGCTCTCTCTTTAATTTTATTTACAAATCACAATTAAATCTCGCGCAGTGCATTCAAGAAGCCCCAAAGCCAACGAAACAAATCCTCATTGCTGACTATGACTTTGTCGAACTGAATCAAATGAAAGCCTTAGACATGCCTCAGCATAGATCGGGTCTCAAGGCGACCAAATCCAAAACCCAAACCACGACTGTCCAAGTGGCAGAGGAAAATGACTACGACTTTGCGTTCGAGTTTCAGGTAATACACTATCTATCCTCCCTCCTCCCAGCTGCCCATCCTCGCAAAGTCTCCACCGACCAAATTTGCCCACACATTTGTTAGCCCTTACTAACCAAAACCGCTTTCGTTTGATATTTAGCAATACGCTGAGAGTCTACAGAAACCGCTCAAAACCTTTAGGGTTGACTTCAGTGCGGGCAGCGTGCCAACTGGCGATGGCCACGCTACGCGCCAGGAGGATCTCTACACCACTACCTACAGCACCACACAGTAAGTATATCTAAAATCAAATTTTACTCAGGAAAAATTTATAAAAAAATTAATTTTTCCTAAAAACGAATAGAAAGTGGTTCTGAGTTTTAAATTTAAATCGCTTAGGATCCTAAAAGCAACGCTTAACCTTTATTCAATCTAGGATGAAAAACAAATTAACTTTGTTTTAATTATATAAATTAATGAATATTTTATTTGACTTGCAGTCAGGGGATGGATCCGAAATTATATAAAAATATTTTACCAACCAAATTTAGCACATATTATAGATAGTTCTTATGGCAGCTAAATGATAACGTCCGGTCGGCAAGATATGTTCAGTGTTCATATAAAATTTCGATTTAGCAAGTTTCAGGACTCTAGCTTACACTGAACGAAATATTTTAAAAACTTAATTTAAACAAAAATACGAGATTTTTACTCAAATTAAACTCAAACAGCGAAAATGTTATGTATAAGTATAACAATATCTTGTTTAGTTTATCAAATAAATTTGTAATTATTCTTTAAAATCTTATTTTGATCATATTCTTAATTTTGAATGTTGAAGAAACTAAAATAAATTTTATAGTAATGATAAAATACTTACTAATTGTTTATAAATCAAACCCTTGCAGATTTAGCTCAACGAAGACAACGAAAAGCTCTACAAAGAGCGTCTACAATAGCGATGGCTTGGATGCCGCTAGTCAGGAGGCTAGCACCATTAACCTGCCCCTGTCGCAAATCCAGTTCAACGAAATCCGGACGCACAAGCGCTCCCAACAGCTAGGCGGCCAATCTGTGCTGGATATAGCTGGAATTCGCGATCCGCGTACCGGTCGCGTTTTGACCATCGGCGAGGCCATTCAGCTGCGCATCCTGGACGTGCGTACTGGCGAGATGTTAGTGGGTGACCGCCGCGTCACACTGGAGCAGGCAGCCGACCAAGGTCTGATCGATGCACAGCTGGCCAGGCAACTGCTTCATCCCGGGGCGGGGCGCGATGCCAGCGGACGTGAGCTGTCGCTGCTGGAGGTTATTCAGCGCGAGATTAGCGAAGCGGAATCCGGCTACGAGACGGCCGAAAAGCGGATCAAGGTAAACAACACGGTCACCGTTGAGCAAATGTCTGGAGACCTCAGTTCTCCCGAGAATCCGCGCAACATTGCCGACGCCATTACCGCGGGGAGTGTGGACACCAAGACCGGCCTATATCGAGTCAAATCAGGACAGACGATTAGCCTGGCGGAGGCCTACGAGCGGGGCTACCTTATCCGGCACGAGTCGGTAACAATCAAATCGAATGCGCTGTGCCTGAGCGATGCGATTTCGCATGGCCTAGTCGATGCCGCCGGCTGGATAGCGGATCGTAACTCCGGCGACAAGTTCCGGCTGGACTCGGCCATTGCCAACCAGCTAATTGACGCGAGTGTGCGTGAAGTGGTGGACGCGAAACGCGATACGAAGATAACACTGCAGGAGGCACTGCACACGGGCGTCCTAAATGCTAAAACGGGTCGGTACCTGAACGAAGTGACCAAGGAAAAGCTCACTTTCGCGGAGGCGCGCAACCGTCAGTTAATCGTTAAACCGTACACGCTGAAAGATATCTGCGATCTGAACCTGCTTGACAAGCAGGCCCAGATCACGAGTCCAATGCGCCGCGAGAAACTTACCATCATGCAAGCCATGGCGGCCGGTGTGTTAGACGGGAATCTGCTCAAGTGCATCACCAAGCGAAAGGGGGAATTGGTCACCCTTCAGGAGGCCATTGCCGACGGAATCGTACTACCAGCGGAGTGCAAGTACCGCGACTTTATGACGGGCGAACTAATTAGCATTCCGGAGGCGGTGGAGCGCGGTCTGGTCAGCTCGGTGACGCAGCGTTCGATCTTCGATATTGACGGGTTTAAGGATCTGAGGAGCAATGACTATGTTAGCTTTAATGTGGCCCTCTCACGCGACCTTTTGCGGCGCAAGAGCACGGGCTTTGCCTTAGAGACGGGTAGGGATAGTTTGGTGCCACTGGAGGTGGCCGTAAGCGAGGGATTGGTGCGCCAAGAGGTGTACGAGATGTTTAGCCGTGGCATTGGGGTTTACAATGCCAGTGGTAAGGAACTTAGTGTCTTTGATTTGGTTTATCACAATCTGATTGACCCTAAGACGGGATATCTGTTGGATCCCAAGACTGCAGAAACAGTGCCCCTGGATACCGCCATCGAGCGAAAGTTTATCACTCCGGAGGGAGCTCTTCTTCTCAGTAGTTTGCTTAACATTACTTTGACCACGGAAACGGTGACGAGAACGATCAATCGGTATGTGACAATCAGGGCTGGTTCCCAGGAGCCGGACAACAGTGTGCTGTTAACCTTTACGGAGGCAGTGCGACAAGGTTTCATCGACGAGGAAAGGCAGCTTTTCAAGGATCCAAAAACAGGCAATATTTATTCTGTGCAACAGGCCCTAAATTACGGTTTGTTAGTTCCCGACAGTAACCAAACGGTGCCGGAGCCAACAAATAAGAAGAAGACAAAATCCACGATCACCATTGTGACCAAGCAGATCATTCCAGAAGCAAAGCCCATTCAACTAAGCACTCAGCACACTAAGTTTGTGGAAAAGTCGGTAGAGATTCCCATTTCCCAAGAACTAGTGAAGCCCCAACGTGTGGTTTCCGAATTTATAAACAAGGAAAAAAGCAGCTATATTGATCAGAATGTGACGGAGCGTCAAATTATGGAGCTGCCTCCAGGAGGTTGGCGGCTAAAGGATGCCATCGAGCAGCGAATTTTTAACCCGGATACAGGAGTGTTTCATGTGCAGAGCTCGGATCGGCTGGTTAACTTTGAGGAATGCATTAACAAACAGATCATCAACAACCTTTCGGTTTCAGTAATTGATCCCAGCACCGGTGACAAGATATCAGTGCAGTCAGCCTTCGAACGCGATATTCTAGACAGTTATGGCAATTATACCAATAACCGAAAACAAGTGCAGGGCATGCGCAACGCCATTGACGAAAGCAAGATCATCCTGGAGATGGTGCCAGCTACTAGAGGTTCCAATCAAAAGACAATTCTTCGCATAACTAGGGTAAACAACATTCCGGATGTGTTAGAGGTGTCTGCACCCCAAAAGGATGCTCCACCCAAGTTTGTAGAGGTACTCACCTGTCAGCGAGAGCTCGCCTCTCCAGAGCCACTGCAAATTGCTCCTGGCGCCATTTATGATCCGTCCACAGCCCTGGTTATCTTCACACAAACCGGGGAGACTGAGAACATCTTTGACGCTGCTTGCCAGGGTCTGATAGACGAACAGGTTATTAAGATTGTGGATCCCACAACCAAGCAAGCCATTTCCGTAAGTGAGGCTATAGCGCGTTCTATTTATGATCCAAAAGTCGCCACAATACTCGATTCCGATGGTCAGCCTGTGGATCTGATCACAGCCACAAAACTGGGTCTACTGAGTGTGACGGGTGCCCCATTAGTTGCCGCCGAAGGAGCCCTGAGAACAGTGCGCTTCGTGACCGATCCACGGACCGGTGAACAAATCCCAGTGGAACTGGCCTACGAGCGAGGAATTGTTTCACGGGATCAGCTGCAGCGCGGACGCTCCTTTGACAGTGAACCAACTACGGTCGAGGAGAAGGTGGTGGTGCTACAGAGGATGCGCAAAATCATTCTTAAGCCGAAGGATGCCTACCGCAAGGGAATTATCGACGAAGGCACCTGTGAGATTCTCGAGAACACGAGAAATTTTACAAATCCTAACGGTGAGGTGGTCAACATAAGCGAGGCCCTGAATATAGGTCTAATTGATGGACGTAGTGGTCATATCATCGATCCCCAAAGCAATCGAGTGCTCAATTTCAGGCAAGCAGTGGAACAGAAGATTCTCGATCCCGAACAGACCAATCATATTCTCATGCCGCTGGCCAAGAGCTTATCTCTGTTACGCCTGGCAGCTCAAGGATTAATAGACCCGCAAGCCCAGACTATTGTACATCCAGAAAGCGGTTATCCCCTGAGCATACATGAGGCGATCGTGTGCGAGGTCTTAGATCCGCATTCAAAGTTGCATAAGCCAGAAAAGTGCACGCTGGAGGAGGCAATCACAAAGGGTATCGTCAACGCTGATGATTCCACCTTTAGCTACAAGAAGAAAGTCTTAAACATCACTGAAGCCATAGAGGCAAAGCTATTTGATCCAAGTTACGATCAGCAAAAGTACAAGGTGGAAATTCCGCCGGTAGGCATGATATTCCCTGTGGCCGTAGAGAAGAGCCTTGTGGAGCCGTCTAAGCGGGTAGTCCTGCATCCCAGTACGAAGAAAGCTCTGCCCATAAAGCAAGCTATTGATGAGAACTTTATCATGTCCATTCCCTACTCTCCGAAGCCAGATGCTATCGACGTGGTGACTGCCATGGAGCAAGACCTCATCGATGTGGCTGCCCAAACTCTAACGGTCCCAACCACTGGGGAACGTGTGCCCCTGCGGCAAGCCATGGAGACGGGTGTTTTGGTGGTGAAGAATCTTTCCGAATTTGTTGTCACCCAGAGACCCATCCCCAAGACTGAGATAATGGAGACACTGCGAGCCGTGCACACAGTGACCACCAAAACTATTGAACTTATGCAGGGCTATGTTCTAATCTCAAATAATGAGGTTCAGAACGTTAACACTGGCGAAGTATGCAGCTTGGATGAGGCTAAGGAGCTCGGAATTCTGCGAGAAGAATCCACAACTCAAGAGACCAAGGCGGCGGCTGGAGAAAGTCCAGAATCGGTTTCCACTCTGGCTACCGGCGGTGATCAAACTACGGTAGTGGAGGAGCGTATCCAGACTGTGGTGGTTAGTTCGGACACCCGCAAGCAAGAAATGCAAGTTGTCAGCACCAAGCAATCTACGAAGGAAATTCCAAGTGCAACTTTAAGTGAAACCGAAAAAAAGGGCAGTAAGGATCCATCAACGGCGTTGCAGAATGTTAAAGATGCCGCCAAATTGGGGGCATTAGGAGTTATTGCAGCTCCTGTTCTGGCTGGTGGAGCTATTGTGAGTGGCGTTAAGAGTCTCATGAAGTCTGTGAAGAGTCCCACGGAAGATGAGAAAGTCACTGAAAAACTACAGCAACCTCAGAAATGCTTAATTGACCAGGAGTGCCGAAATGTGCCACAACCGCAACACGTGCCAAGAGATGTTGATAATCTGCTCAGCGAAACTGAAAACTTTATCAGCTCCACAACTGCAAACTTTATAGCCAACGAAAAACAGCAGCAGAAGCCGGAGCAGCTGCACTCAGCAACAGCAGAAGCAGTGCATTCTTCGGCTGTTGAATCAACACACACCTTGAAAACCACAACAGTTACAACTATAACTACCTCACGAGAATCTGTTAATCTAGACCCAGTTGTGGTGGAGGACATCACGACCAGCACTACTGTTAAGGAAAGTCCAGTTTTTGAGCATGTCCTTGAGAAGCCTATGGAAGTGCCAGAAGATAAAACGAAAGTTTTTAAAGAAACTGATACTAATAGCACAGTACCAACTATGGAGATTGATTCTACACCGGAAGAGAAGGAACCGGTTACAAAACACTCCAGTCCCAAGCCAGATGAAAATGAGTCTTTCTCACAGCCTGGCAATAATGAGCCACCCCAAAAACCAGCTCAAAATAAAGATAGTTCCGAGCCAGTTAAAAAGAACTCCACTGCTGAGGCGGCTAAGGAGGCGAAAACTTGCGAAGCATCACAGAGCGCACAAACAACTCAAAAGGATCCAACCGCACTTAAGGAATCACATGCTGTACCCACTACCAAGCCCGAACCCTACCCAAGAGGCCCAAAAGGGGAAAAAGAGTCTGAAATCAAACCTCCCTTCACAGCACCCCTAGCTGCTTTTGTGGAGCCAGTATCCGAAATCACGAGCACAAGTATTTCAACCAATACAACTACTGTAAAAATAATCGAAGAACCACCATCGATCGAGGAATTTATCAACAAGTCTGAGCCTGAGAAGATTGTGGATCTGCAAGTTAATGAACCTACCGCTCAAGAGATCAAAGTTAATGAACCAAATGAGAATACGGATAATTCTTCAAAGCCTGAACAAGCCAGTAAAATAACTCTAAAAGAAAGGGTTATCACTATCGAAGAGCCATCTACTGTAACGACAACTACTATCACCACAATAACAACAAGCAGTGAGAAAAACCAGCCCAAAGCGATTCTAGTCACTGAAAAGGAAACGCAAGCGGAGGAGCCATTGCAACCCTTCCCAGTAAAAGCTAATGAGTCATTACAAACAACCAACGCTGAGAAAAGCAAGCCTCAAGAGATTGAGGACGCTGAGAAGAAAACTCCTGTGGAAAGGCAAGTGCATCCTCTCCCACCCCAACCTTTTGAAACAACTCAAACAATTAAACCAGCGACTACAATCAGTGAAAACAAACCGCAGCGTCCGGATGATCTTGAGAAAATTGTTCATCCTCAACCTACTTCGGACTCACATCAATCACTTGTTGATTTTATTAACCGGGAGAAGGATTCTTTGCCACCGGCTGGAAGTGGTAGCACCATCTTGCAGAATGTTAAGGAGGCCGCTAAATTGGGCGCTCTAGCCATTGTCGGAGCACCCGTCCTCGCTGGCAAGGCTTTGGTTGATGCTCTGACCGCAGAGAATACCCCAAACCCAGAACAATTCACAACTCAAGAGGCGACCAAGACAGTGGAAGAATTTCCGTCGGAGGATACCTGTACTAGCATCACCACATTAATCACCACAGTTACCACTAATACAAAAACCACAACTACACCAAAGGAAAGCAGTACCGAAGATGAGGACCGCGACGTGATGGAAATGCCTGCTGACTCGGTGGAAACAACTAATAAACGAGAAGTGCCCAGGACACTGCCCATTGGCGATGCCATTTCTCAGAAACTTATAAGTCCCGATGAGTGCAAGGTTATAGTTGATGGAGAACAACAGTCCCTTACTGTTTCCACTTTGCTTAAAGAGGAGCAGCTGAGTCCATTGGACGAAGTGCAAATTATTGACGAAAAGCTAATTGTACTTAAACAGGTTCCCTACTTGGTGGACGAAGACACTGAACTTACGCCCGAGAATCTGAGTGAGCTTAACATATACGATCCCGAGAATCAGTACTTTATTGATCCAAGCACTGGTCAAAAGGTGTCCTTCCATACGCTTGTATTTGACATGAACATATTTAACCCGGAGACCATCTTGGTGAAAAACTTTAATACCGGCAAATACGAAACTCTTACAACAGCTCTGGAGCGCCCACTGCTGGATAGGCACACAGGTCACATGGTCGATCCCAAAAATGGAAAAAAAATTCCATTTTTTGAGTGCATTGCCCGCCAATGGATTATTCGCGCCAGTCCCGAAGAGCAGCGACCATCGGCCATTGAGAACGTGACAATAGACACACAGACCGGACAAGTGGTGCTTGACGATGGTCGGGCTTGCTCCATTGTTGATGCCATCAACAGTGGCAAGCTGGACATCCAGTCGATTTCGGTGCGCGACCCTGTTAGCGGTGAGGTAATTCCACTGCGTATGGCAATTGAGTTGGGAGTGGTAGATATGCAGGCGGGCACGGTAATAGACATCCAGACGCTCAAGGAGATTCCAATGGAGCTAGCTTTCCAGCTGGGTTTCCTAGTGCCCGGTGCACGCAAACCAATCTCTTTGGAAGCCGCCGTTCGCAAGGGTCTTTACGATCCTGAGACGGGCAAACTTTTCGACTCCGAGAGTCAAAACCAGGTCGATGTGCAAAAGTCTATTGAGATTGGTTTAGTAGACCCCAAGATTTCCTTAATTGTAGATATGGTTACCAAAAAGGAAGTCAAACTGGATAGCGCCATCGAAGATGATTTGGTGTTGCCCGCCACAGGTCAAATCAAGGACAACAAAAACAACACTCTGGTTCCCTTCGACGTGGGTCTGGAGCAACGTCTGTTAAAGACCGACACCGTCACCTGGAGCCTGCCGGAGTTGCTGCAGCGTGAATACTACATGCCCAGTACAGGCAGGGTGCTCAACCCCGTCTCTGGTGAGGAGATTCTTCTTCAGCAGGCCATCGAAATGGGATTTGTAGAGCTTGAGACGACCCTGGTCAAGGACGCCGACCATAACAAAATTTTGCCGGGCAAAGAGGCGGCCAAGGTGGGTCTGCTGGATACGGTACGTGGCACCCTAAGTTCCCCCAACCTTAGTCTTGACGAGGCCTTCGTCAAGGGCTATTTGATTAGCACCAAAAAGCCGTTGTCCCTAGTCGATTGTCTGCTGCGTGGTCTCTACGATCCTTTGACAGCCAAGTTCACCATCGACGAAAAGCAGCTGGACCTTAAGTCTGCCATTTCCCAAAAGCTCATTAACCCCGAGGAGCTGGTGTTGCTCGATCCGAAGACAGAATCAATCATTTCCATTACCGAAGCAATAGCCAAGGGCTATCTCGATCCGATTGCCGGATATGTCATTAACCCTTATGCTTCCACTAAGTTGTCCCTCCACGAAGCTCTGGAGAATCGCATTCTCATTCCGCCCAAGCGCAAGCGTAGCCTGCCGGATGCGGTCTACCGGGGTCTTTACGATCCTAAAACGGGTCAGTTCAGCAACACAATGACCCGCGAGAAGCTTACAACTGAACGTGCCATTCGTAGGGGCATACTCGATCCCGATTCGACGGTCGTCAATGTGGGTCCCGGCCAAATCATTCCATTCGGGGTGGCCACAGAGACTGGAATCGTAGATAGTAGGCAGGGTACAGTGAGAGACGCCGACGACAATTCCATTGACTTCAAAGATGCTTTCGATCGGGGTGTTTTGATTGAAGTCAAAAAGCCGCTGCGCCTTATTGAGGCTGTGGTGAAAAATGTATACGACGAGGTGGATGGACGCTTTGTCGATCCCAAGTCTGGCGAGAAACTAAACTTCAGTGAGGCCTTGAACACAAATTTACTGGACGAGCACAGTGTGCAGATCAGGGACTTAAAAACAGGTCTATACAAGCAGCTAAATTTAACGCACGCCAAGGATTCTGGCATCATTGATGCCCAGACCTCCAAGCTAATGTATAACAATCAAACAATGACTCTCAAGCATGCCTTTGATATTGGAATACTAATGGATGTCAATGGACCTATCAGCATTCAACGAGCAATTCATCAAGGACTGTTTGACGACAAGACCGGTAAGCTGAGCGATCCCCGAACTGGGCGACAGATCACTCTTCTCGAGGGCATGCGCAGTTTCGTTATCAATCCTCACCTCCCGTGCTTTTTTGATGAGCAGGCAGAGCAGATGTACACGCTAAGCGAGACCTGTCGCAATGGCATCATCAATAGGAGGGAGGGTGTCTTTCGGGAGCCGGGTAGCAATAGTTTCGTTCCTCTTGGCGAAGCCTTAAGCCTGGGTCTAATTGTGGATATTGAGAATGCCGGCTTTGGTCTATACGAACTTTTGTCCATGAGCTTCTATGACATTCTTACACGCAAGGTTCTGCATCCGGTCACAAATCGCAAGCTTAATCTAAACGAAGCGTGCGTAGAGGATGTAGTTAGCTTATCTTCCAGTTTGGTTAAACACCACGATACTGGCAAGTACCTGCGGTTGGCCAACGCTATCAAGGAACAGCTAATTGATGATTCTAGGGGTTGTTATAATCTGGGTAGCGAACAGCTGGATCTGCAGACAGCTAGGGCCAGAGGTTTAATTGTCTCCAATCGTCGCCTTCTCAGCCTTGAACTCGTCTTGCGTCAACAGCTTTATCGGCCCGAAACGGGTAAATTTTGTGATCCAACCACTGGAGAATATCTTGACCTGGTTGAAGCCATTCACTCGGGCTTCTTAGATCCCGCGACGACCGTGTTTAAGAACCAAATTACCGGTAAAGAGCATTCACTAACTGAAGCTATTGAAAATGGAGATATTGATGTGTGCAAAGGTAGGGTATTTGATCCGAAGTCTAAGTCAGCCTACAACTACGACGTGGCACTTTCGCGGGGTATTCTGGTAACTATTATTCGGCCACTGACCGACCGCAACGATGTAGTGCGTCGCCAAGATAGTGTTGAATTATTGGGACAAACGCCTGTAAGTGTTGTGATTAGCAAACCGCGTGAAATGTCCCTTGAGGAGGCTATTCGTTACAACATAGTTGATCCCAAGACTGCGCTCGTTCGTGATTTCGATAGCTTTAAGTTCCTTCCTTACTCGGTAGCCGTGGAACGCGGTCTCGTGGACACCACCAAACGCACTCTCGTTGATCCGAAATCCCTGTACTTTGCCTTTGATCCTACTTTAATCGTTTACGTACACGAACCAGTCACCTTCGATCAGGCAGCCGAATCTAAGTGTCTGGACTTGCAGACCGGTATGCTGACATATGTGTCAGCAAGTGGAACTGGATCCGCATCAGCCAGCGACGACAGCGCAACCGATTCGCTGACTGTCACCGAAACGGCCAAGGTATACACGCTCAAGGAGGCCGCCAGTGCGGGCATTGTTGATCCCGACTCTGCGCTGGTCAAGGATCTGGCCAAGGCCAAGCTTGTCCGTTTGCCGGAGGCGTTCCGCAAGGGATTAATGGATGCCAACAAAGCGAATGTGCTGAACACCCAGACCTCCAAGCTCTGCACCCTGCAGGAGGCATATGAGAGTGGCCTGATTTGCACTCCCAAGCGCTCATTTGGCTTGCTAGAAGCCATCACCTTTAACCTGTACAACCCGACCAATGGATGCCTAGTTGACCCTTTCCAAATGCACCCCGACATCATTCGGCGTCGAAAGTTTACGCTGGCCGAAGCCATTGGCTCAGGTCTGGTGGATCCGTCGTCGACGGTAGTGCGTGACCCTGGCAGTGGGGTCATTGTCCCACTGGCGGCAGCCATCAGCAGCGGGCTGATCGATGCCACTGAAGGTCGCCTGATCGACGCCAATGAGCCCAAGAATAACATTGACCTAGTGAAGGCTGCCGATAAGGGTCTGCTCCTGCCGGCAGAACAGAGGGTAAGTCTCAGTCCACGTCAGGTGTACTTTTTCAATTTCTATAAAATCTCAAAACCGGAATCGCGAATGAAACAAATTACTGCAAGAAATTTGAGCAAAATTATTATATTTCTAAATTTAAAGCTTTGTTCGTGGCATGTTTGGTATATACTTTACTATCAATATTGATTATATGATTTCGATTTTGTTAAAACATTTTGACCTGTGCGCTCTTTTTCTATCTCTTTCTGTCTATCTTTGTCTCTACTTAAATTTTAAACTCTATCTCATCAGACTAATCCAGATGTGAGCTTTCCACAATGAAAACATTCAGCAATTTTACGTTGCAAATCATATTTATTATTATTTTGCAAATCTCTTATATTGCAGCGCATGGCATACAGTTTTATGTTCTATATATCGTATTTTCCGCTGAGATCGCTTTAAGTTCTCAAGCTACAGCAGCCACAATAATGTCAGCGAGTACATCACAGATCACATCAAACAAACATGCATCCATTTATATCGTACTACATCGATCGCGCTTTGTCAGGCCGAAGAGCAATGCGTTATGTCTCATACTCCTCCGCATAAATGACGTCGGCAATAGGACAACATATTCAATACTCTATATATACTCTATCGATTTGTCTATAACACTAGCATACGAAAATTTTTTCCATTCGAACTCGCACACATATACTCCTTGTTCTTTCTCTTCCCCTATGCTCCATTGTATAGTAGGCAGTATTTGACGTAGGATCAGACCAAACTTTAACTGTTTCTTTAATACGGCTTACAGAATGGTCTGACAATATTTGTGTTGGATATTACCAAAATACCCCACTATTCACTTGTTTCTATCCTTTGCTCTTAGTTTTGGACTAAGGTTAAATTTCCCTTTTCAGCCCAATGCAGCAAACCAGAATTTAGATAATACTTTTTACATTTTATTTAAATACCAATTTTCTACCTATTTTCAGCATACATATATAAATATTATTTTATTATTTCGTTTTGCAGTTTTAATTTAAAAAGGCAAACCCAAAAACCAAAATTAACACTAACCAAAATAAAACAACCCAATAAAACGAAACCCACACAAAAATCATTAAACGGTAGTTAGTGTATACTAAAAGTAAAACAACTCGTAGTTGCTAGTCCCCAGTAGTGCTCGTTCCTCAAAGTAGTAAACCTTGGTGTTTGTATGTCTATTTTTGCTAAAATTTTAGTTTATGTTAACTGCTTTTATATTTTGATGCTTGCTATAAAATTGCTTAGCCCTAAGATTTAGCCTTGCCACCGCTTCAACAAACGAATGTGTTCTTTCCAGCTATGTTTGTATTTTATATATATATTTTGTGTTCCATTTATCTATCGACATTTATCCACATATTATATCTGTGGGGATAATTTTAGCGACCCGTATCGAGCTAAGAACTTCTGTCGCCTTTTCCTGTTTTCTAATGATTTATGTGTTCTATTCTCCCTATCAAAATTTGTTCTATATAGCAAGCAGTATTCGAGAAGTTCAACATGTGCGAAGAAAACGTTAATGATCTGTTGAGATGGGTCACCACTGTTGAACAGAAAATATCGAGTGTCGGTGGACCTCGCGAAAAGATCGATGAGTTGCGCAACCAGATTAATGCCCTTAAGGTGGGTACTATGGGTAAATCAGAATTACGTAATCTTTAATTGTTGTTTTTATAGCAAATCAAGGATGAGATCGAGTCTCAACAGAGACCAGTTGCCACTTGCTTGGAGCAAATCCGTCAAATCGTTCTTACTGGTGGCGATGTTTTGTCTGCCCCTGAAGTGACCACCCTAGAGAACTCTGGCAGGGAACTGCGTTCCCGTGTAGATCGTGTCAACGATCGCACTGTGCGTCTGCTCCGACGCCTGGAAGCTGGGCGAGATGAGCTCACTAAATTGAGTAGCGAGTTGGATGTCTTTTCAGATTGGTTACAGGTTGCCCGTCGTACTCTGGAGGACAAGGAGCGTTCCCTGTCCGACCTGACTCGTCTGTCCTCGCAGGCGGATTCTGTTCGGGAGTTTGTGAGCGATGTGATCGGCCACCAGGCCGATCTGCGCTTTATTACAATGGCCGCCCAGAAGTTTGTGGACGAAAGCAAGGAATTTTTGGCCATTCTCAATGACTTCCGTACCTCACTGCCTGAACGCTTGCCTCATGTAGAGCCGCTGTCCAGTGCCGAGAGTCCCATCCGCCAAGAGGTTTCCCTGGTCTCAGCGCAATACAAGGACCTGCTAAACCGTGTCAACGCTCTTCAAGATCGCGTCTCCGGTTTGGGTGGACGCCAGCGTGAGTACCAGGATGCTCTGGACAAGGCCAACGAGTGGCTGAGAAGTGTTCATCCGCGCGTTACCCGCATAATCTCCGAACCGATTGCCGGCGAACCGAAGGGAGTTCAGGATCAGATGAACGAGGCCAAGGCATTGCACAACGAGCTGCTCTCCAGTGGGCGTTTGGTGGACAATGCCCAGCAGGCCCTCGACAATCTGCTCCGCAGTCTTGGTGGCCAACTTAGTCCCATGGAGATCAATCAGTTGGAGCTGCCCATTGCCGATCTAAAGAAAAACTACCAGCAGCTGCTGGACAATTTGGGAGAGCACTGCAAAACTCTGGACAAGACTTTGGTGCAATCGCAGGGCGTGCAGGATGCCTTGGACAGCCTGGTGGGATGGGTCAACCAGACTGAGGACAAGTACAAGTTGAACTTGCGCCCCGCCTCGCTGATAAAAGAGCGTCTGCAGGAGCAAATTCGCGAACACAAGGCCCTGCTGGCCGACCTCCAATCCCATCAGGCTAGCATCGACAGCGTTCAAATCTCGGCCAAGCATCTGCTGGCCAGCGCCTCAAATGCTCGCATAGCCAAAAAGGTTGAATCGAATCTAAACGATGTAACCGTCAAATTCGAAAAGCTCTACGAAAAGGCCAACAAGCGTGGGGAGTTCCTAGATGATGTGTACAACCGGCTGAGCAGGTATCTGGATGAAATCAGCACTGTGGAACAACGAATGGCTAGTCTGCAAGAAGCTCTCGATAGTCGCGAGACAAGCTTGCTGTCCACTGAGGAGCTAGCTCGGCGCATGAACGAACTATCACGCGACAAAGATCAACTGGCCCCTCAATTCGAGGACTGTGTTCGCAATGGCAAGGATTTGATTAGCCTGCGCGATGTCACCGATACCGGAGTTTTGCGTGATCGAGTGAAGGCTTTGGAATCTCAGTGGCGAAATATTAACATAAGCATTGATGAACGCGCCAAGCTTTCCAAGCAGAAGGCCGAGCAGCAGCTGGCCTACGAGAGTCTGAAGGACCAGGTTCTCTCCTGGCTGGCAAGCACGGAGGCACGTGTGAACGGCCTTCCCCCGGTAGCCATCGATCTGGACCGAATTAAACAACAGCACGACGAGCTGAAGCCCATCTGCAAGGATTACCGCGATTATGCCCCCACTATCGACAAGATTAACGAGATAGGAGCACAATATGATGCGCTAATTCGTCCGGAGAGTCCTGCCCGCAAACGCTCCACGTACAGCCCGATTAAGAGGGCCAGTCCGCTACGCCGCATGTCGGGAGACGCCAGAAGCCCCAGCCCCAACAAGGGAGGCATCCTGTCGCCACTATCGACTGGTTCCAGTGGATTCGGTAGCCGCAGATCCTCCCAGGATGGTTTCCAGCTGTCTGAGCTGTCTCCGGTGCAACAGCAACTGAGCGAGATCAACAATCGCTATGGACTGATTGGTGTGCGCCTAAACGATCGCCAACATGAACTGGATAACCTGAACGATGAGGTGCGCAAGCAGTACGAGAACCTCAAGGGACTCGCTCAGTTCTTGGAGCGCGTCCAGCGCCAGCTACCCAAAGAGTCTGTTTCCAACAAAGATGAAGCCGAGCGCTGTATCAAGCAGGCGCGCAAGATCCTGGAAGACATGTACGAGAAACAGAGCCTGCTGGACACCACTAAGGCGCAAGTAAAAGACATCCTACGACGCAAGTCGGATGTGCACGGCGCCGAGCAATTGCGCCAGGAGAATGATAGCATTCAGGAGAAGTGGAAGAATCTCAATGACATCTGCAAGAACCGCATTGCCTTCTCCGAGAAGCTGCGTGACTTCCTGGAAACCCATGGAAATTTGAAGAGCTGGTTGGACAGCAAGGAGCGTATGCTAACCGTGCTGGGACCCATTTCTTCTGATCCCCGTATGGTGCAAAGCCAGGTGCAGCAGGTGCAAGTGCTGCGCGAGGAGTTCCGCACTCAGCAACCTCAACTGAAGCACTTCCAGGAGCTGGGTCACGATGTGGTAGACCATCTGGCCGGCACACCTGATGCCCAGGCCGTTGAACTCAAACTGAAGGACATCCTGGGCAAGTGGGAGGATCTTGTTGGAAAGCTAGACGACCGCGCAAACAGTTTGGGTGGAGCCGCTGACAGTTCCAAAGAGTTTGATGCCGCTGTCAATCGTCTGCGTGAGGCTCTGCAGAACATCAGCGATAATCTAGACGCTCTGCCCACGGATGGCGATCACCAAGAAAATTTACGCAAGATCGAAAACTTAGAGCGCCAGCTCGAGGGTCAACGACCGCTGCTGGCAGATGTGGAGCAATCCGCCGCCACTCTGTGCAATATTCTGGGTGATCCCGCCTCGCGTGCCGACGTCAATTCCAGGGTTGCCGCCCTGGAAAAGCAGTATTTGGCGCTGCAAAAGAAATTGGACACCAAAAAGGCCGAAACAGAGGCTTCGCTACGTGATGGTCGCCACTTCGCCGAGAACTGTTCCAAGACTCTTGGTTGGTTGGGAGGAGAGCTTTCCAACCTGACCGACAGGTTACTAGTGTCTGCCCACAAACCCACACTGCAGCATCAGATCGACACCCATGAACCGATTTACCGCGAGGTAATGGCGCGCGAGCACGAGGTAATAATGCTGATCAACAAGGGCAAGGATCTGTCCGACCGCCAGCAGGATCGTGGCGTGAAACGCGATCTCGACCGCATCCAGCAGCAATGGGAGAAACTTCGCCGTGAGGCCGTCGATCGGCACACGCGATTGCAGACATGCATGGAGCATTGCAAGAAGTACTCACAGACTTCTGAGATGTTTTTGGCCTGGCTGCGTACGGCGGAGGATAAGTTGACCGATCTAACACCCGGCGTGCTTTCCAAGGCGAAATTGGAGACGCGTCTACGAGATTTGCAAACCTTCCGCAGCGAGGTTTGGAAGCATTCCGGTGAGTTTGAAAACACCAAAGGATTGGGCGAGACCTTCCTCACGAGCTGCGACATCGACAAGGAACCGATTAAGGCAGAGCTCCAGGACATTCGTGATCGCTGGGAGAGGCTGAACAATGATTTGATTGCCCGTGCGCATGAGATTGAGAACTGCTCGCGCCGTTTGGGAGACTTTAATGATGAGTTGCGAAACCTGGATCATTCGCTGGGTCGCTGCGAAGATCGCCTTGCTGCCCATGATGCCCTGGGTGGTGCCGCTAAAGATCCCAAGCTCCTGGAACGTGTAAAGGCAATCCGCGAGGAGCTTACCAATTTAAGCAAGCCGCTGCAGTCGCTTAAGGCTTTGGCCAAGGATATCAGTGCTGAGGCTAGGGCTGCTGGTGGAGATGCTGATCATTTAACCAATGAAGTCGACGGTCTGGCCGATCGCATATCCGAACTTCAAGGACGTCTGGATGATCGCTGTGGCGAACTGCAATCTGCAGCTACGGCTGTGTCCCAGTTCAACGAACAAATGAAGAGTTTGGGCATCGATCTAAACGACCTGGAGACGGAGATTGAAAAACTTTCCCCTCCGGCCCGTGAAATTAAGATTGTGAACGGGCAAATCGACGATGTTGGCAAGATTCAGAACAAGTTGGGTCACCTGCTGAGTCGTTTGGAGGACGCCGAACGCGCCGCTGACGTTTTGGTGGATGCCGGATTCGCTGCGGACACGACTCAAACTCGTGAGCAAATTTCCACTCTGCGAAAGACTTTGGGTCGCTTGGATAACCGAGTGCGCGATCATGAGGACAATCTTCAAGCCACTTTGAAGGCCCTGCGCGAATTCTACGACAACCAATCTCAAACTCTGGATGACATAAAGGACGTAAGCGATGAGTTCAAGCGTATGAAGCCAGTGGGTTCAGAGTTGGATCAGATTCGTCGCCAGCAAGAGGACTTCCGAAACTTTAGAGAGCGCAAGGTGGAACCTCTGGCTATCAATGTTGACAAGGTCAATGTGGCTGGAAGAGATCTGGTGCGCTCGGCTGCCAGCGGTGTGTCCACCTCTGCAGTTGAAAAAGATCTGGAGAAGCTTAATGACCGGTGGAATGACTTGAAGGAACGCATGAACGAGCGCGATCGTCGTTTGGATGTGGCTTTGCTCCAATCAGGCAAATTCCAAGAAGCTTTGGCTGGTTTATCCAAGTGGCTTAGCGACACCGAAGAGATGGTAGCCAACCAGAAACCGCCAAGCTCCGATTACAAGGTGGTCAAGGCCCAGTTACAGGAACAAAAGTTCCTCAAGAAAATGCTTTTGGATCGCCAGAATTCGATGGGTTCGCTGGCCAATCTGGGCAAGGAGGTTGCCAATCACTGTGAGCCCGCCGAGCGTTCCTCCATTGAAAAGCAGCTAAACAATTTGATGAAGAGATTTGATGCCCTGACCGATGGAGCAGAGCAACGTGAGTTGGATCTGGAGGAAGCCATGGAAGTGGCTAAGCGATTCCACGATAAGATCAGTCCTCTGGAACTCTGGCTGGACAACACGGAGCGTTCGGTAAAGGCCTTGGAGCTGATACCAACCGATGAGGAGAAGATCCAGCAGCGTATTCGCGAACACGATCGACTGCACGACGAGATTCTGGGCAAGAAGCCCGACTTTACGGATCTCGCAGATGTGGCCGCCCAGCTGATGCACTTGGTTAGCGACGAGGAGGCCGTGAATCTGGGTGAGAAGGTGCGCGGTGTCACTGAGAGGTATACTGGGTTGGTAGACGCCAGCGACAACATAGGAGCTTTGCTTGCCGAATCCCGTCAGGGATTGCGTCACTTGGTCTTGAGTTACCAGGATCTGGTAGCTTGGATGGAGAGCATGGAGGCAGAGCTGAAGCGCTTTAAGTCCGTACCTGTGTACGCCGAAAAGCTGCTGGAGCAGATGGATCATCTTCTGGAGTTGAACGAAAATATTGCCGGTCACGCTTCGAACGTGGAATCCACTGTGGAATCTGGAGCCGAGCTTATGAAGCACATTTCCAACGATGAGGCCATTCAACTGAAGGATAAGTTGGACTCGCTGCAGCGCCGTTACGGGGACTTGACCAACCGCGGTGGAGATCTCCTGAAGAGTGCACAAAATGCCCTCCCCTTGGTGCAACAGTTCCATGAGGCACACAACCGTTTGGTGGAATGGATGCAAAGTGCTGAAGCTGCTCTGGCACCCAGTGAGCCCCGTCAGGCGGATGTGCTCCGGCTAGAGGGTGAATTAGCAGATATGCGTCCCATTCTAGACAGCATCAATCAAGTTGGACCCCAGTTGTGTCAACTTTCCCCTGGAGAAGGCGCCGCTACAATTGAGAGCATTGTGACCCGGGACAACCGTCGTTTTGATTCCATTGTCGAGCAAATTCAACGAAAGGCGGAGCGTCTGCATCTGAGCAATCAGCGTGCTAAGGAGGTTACTGGAGACATCGATGAGTTGCTAGAATGGTTCCGCGAAATGGACACCACACTTCGTGAAGCCGATCTGCCCGCCATGGAGCCCAAATTGGTGCGTGCCCAGTTGCAGGAGCATCGTTCCATTAACGACGACATTTCAAGTCAAAAGGGACGTGTGCGTGATGTTACGGCGGCCTCCAAGAAGGTGCTACGTGAATCCCCGCAGAGCGAGAATACTGCCACCCTGCGTGAGAAGTTAGACGATCTGAAGGAGATCGTCGACACCGTGGCTCAATTGTGCAGCGAGCGTCTGGGCATCTTGGAACAGGCACTGCCCTTGTCCGAGCATTTCGCCGACTCTCATCAGGGACTTACTGCCTGGTTGGACGACATGGAGCAGCAGATCTCGCGGTTAAGCATGCCGGCTTTGCGGCCCGATCAAATCACCCTGCAGCAAGATAAGAACGAGCGTCTGCTGCAATCTATTGCTGAGCACAAGCCACTCTTGGACAAGTTGAACAAGACGGGCGAGGCTTTGGGTGCATTGGTGGCCGATGATGATAGTGCGAAGATCAACGAGATTTTGGACACAGACAACGCCCGTTATGCCGCTCTCCGTTTGGAACTGCGCGAACGCCAGCAGGCGCTGGAAAGTGCACTGCAGGAATCCAGTCAGTTCTCCGACAAACTGGAGGGCATGCTACGCGCTCTGGCCAACACGGTGGATCAGGTAAATCAACTAGATCCCCTTTCCGCCCTACCGCAGAAGATTCGCGAGCAGATCGAGGATAACGATGCTTTGATGGACGATCTGGACAAGCGACAGGATGCCTTCAGTGCTGTACAGCGTGCGGCCAACGATGTGATCGCCAAGGCGGGTAACAAGTCCGATCCAGCTGTGCGTGACATCAAGGCCAAATTAGAGAAGCTAAACAACCTGTGGAACGATGTACAGAATGCCACCAAGAAGCGTGGCAGCTCGCTGGACGATATCCTGAGCGTGGCCGAGCCCTTCTGGAAACAACTTAACAGCGTGATGAAGACCCTTAAAGATCTGGAGGAGACCCTTTCCTGCCAGGAACCACCAGCGGCCCAACCGCAGGATATCAAGAAGCAACAAGTGGCGTTGCAGGAGATCCGTCACGAGATCGATCAGACCAAACCCGAGGTGGAGCAGGTGCGTCGCCACGGTAGCAACTTGATGAACATGTGCGGCGAGCCCGACAAGCCAGAAGTCAAGAAGCATATTGAGGATTTGGACAATGCCTGGGATAACATCACGGCGTTGTATGCCAAACGTGAGGAGAACCTTATCGACGCCATGGAGAAGGCCATGGAGTTCCACGAAACGCTGCAGAACCTGCTTAAGTTCCTGACCAAGGCCGAGGACAAGTTTGCCCATCTGGGAGCCGTGGGATCGGACATTGATGCCGTTAAGCGACAGATTGAACAGCTGAAGTCGTTCAAGGATGAAGTCGATCCGCATATGGTTGAAGTTGAAGCATTAAACAGGTGAGGTGGTATTTTTAATATAGGATTCAATGAAATTTATTCAAAATTATAAATCTAATATTTCAATGCCGTGGTGTCTATCTCAACTTGTGAATTGGCAGATGTCTCAAAAGGCAAGAAAGTTTCAAAAAAGTCTCGTTTGTTATTTAGTTTTTGTTGTGAATATTGATAATTGTTAAGTGTCTGCAGAGATCCAAAATGATCGGGCTCTTTGATCTGAGCTGGGATGAGCATGCTTTTAGATCTTCACAGTTTGACTTCTTGCATGCAATGGCAAAAAACCAAAAAAAGAAAAATACCGGCCATTTCCTCATATTTTTGCGCTTGCTTTTGGCAAAAAAAGGTTTCTTAAATACCCCAGCTAATCCCTCATTGGATCTTTCAGACAAGCTGTGGAACTGACGGAACGCACTTCACCTGAGCAGGCGGCATCGATCCGCGAACCCCTTTCGGTGGTCAATCGACGTTGGGAAGCCCTACTTCGTGGCATGGTCGAGCGCCAGAAACAACTGGAGCACGCCCTTCTGCACTTAGGGCAATTCCAGCATGCGCTGAACGAGCTACTTGTCTGGATCAACAAAACCGACAGTACTCTAGACCAGCTGAAGCCGGTAAGCCGAATCACTAGGATTTTTCAATGCCAAATCATTGTTCATTGTTAACATTTTTTAGATACCCGGAGACCCGCAACTGCTTGAGGTTGAACTGGCCAAGCTGAAAGTGCTCGCCAACGACATTCAGGCCCACCAAAACTCAGTGGACACACTGAACGATGCAGGAAGACAGTTGATCGAAACCGAGAAGGGCTCTGTGGAAGCCTCCACTACCCAAGAGAAACTCCGCAAACTCAACAACGAATGGAAGCAGCTGCTGCAAAAGGCAAGCGACCGACAGCATGAATTGGAAGAAGCTCTGCGCGAGGCTCACGGCTACATTGCCGAGGTCCAGGACATCCTGGGATGGCTTGGCGATGTCGACGCTGTAATTGGAGCCAGCAAGCCGGTGGGCGGACTCCCCGAAACTGCCACCGAGCAGCTCGAACGCTTCATGGAGGTGTACAACGAGTTGGATGAGAACAGGCCCAAGGTAGAGACGATACAGGCCCAGGGCCAGGAGTACATCAAGCGACAGAACCATATGAAAGTCTCGTCCAGCAATCTGCAACATACACTTCGTACCCTGAAGCAACGGTGGGATGCTGTCGTTTCCCGTGCATCTGACAAGAAGATTAAACTAGAGATTGCACTCAAGGAAGCAACCGAGTTCCATGACACCCTTCAAGCCTTTGTGGAATGGCTGACCCAGGCCGAGAAGCTTCTTTCCAACGCCGAGCCCGTCTCTCGCGTCCTGGAAACCATCCAAGCCCAGATGGAAGAACACAAGGTGCTGCAGAAGGATGTGAGCACCCATCGCGAGGCCATGCTGCTGCTGGACAAGAAGGGAACACACCTCAAGTACTTCAGTCAAAAGCAGGACGTGATCTTGATCAAGAATCTTCTTGTTTCCGTGCAGCATCGCTGGGAGCGAGTGGTAAGCAAGGCCGCGGAACGTACCCGTGCTCTGGATCATGGCTACAAAGAGGCCCGCGAGTTTAACGATGCCTGGAGTGGCATTATGCAATATCTGCAAGAGACCGAACAGGTTCTAGATCAGATCATCGAGGAGGCTACGGCTTCCAAAGAGCCGCAGAAGATCAAGAAGTACATTGGCAAGCTCAAGGAGACGCACCGCCAACTGGGCGCTAAGCAGTCTGTCTACGACGGCACCATGCGTACCGGAAAGAATCTCTTAGAGCGGGCTCCTAAGGGCGATCGCCCAGTGCTGGATAAGATGCTGCTAGAGCTTAAGGAGCAATGGACCCGAGTTTGGTCCAAGAGCATCGATCGCCAGCGCAAGCTGGAGGAGGCTCTGCTCCTTTCCGGGCAGTTTAGCGATGCTCTGGGTGAGCTGCTCGAATGGCTGAAGAAGGCCAAGAGTCGCCTAAACGAAAACGGTCCCGTCCACGGAGATTTGGAGACGGTTCAAGGGCTCTGCGAACATCACAAGCACATTGAACAAGATCTGCAGAAGCGTGCCGCTCAAATGCAAGGCGTTCTCAAGACGGGACGTGACCTGGAACGATCTGGCAATAATCCCGAAGTTGGTCGGCAGCTCGATGAGATGCAGTCCATTTGGGAAGAGGTCAAGAGCGCTGTCGCCAAACGCGGTGAACGTCTCCAAGTGGCCCTTGTAGATGCTGAAAAGTTAAATGCCCGTGTCCAGGCTCTCTTTGATTGGCTGGATCATGCCGAGCACAAGCTTCGGTATGCCAAAAATGCGCCGGATGATGAGAAGGTTTCGCGCGAAATGATGGACATTCACATGGACTTTATGAAGGACCTGCGACTTCGTGAAAGCGAGAAGACCGAGACTTTCGAGTACGCCGAAGACATAATTGGCAAGGCCTATCCTGATGCTATACCGATCATCAAGAACTGGCTGTCGATCATTCAGCAGCGCTGGGAGGAGGTCCGCCAGTGGGCCATCAACCGTGAGTCGAAGCTGGATCAGCATTTACAGTCGCTCAAGGACTTGGACGACACTATTGAGGAGCTGCTGGCCTGGCTCAGCGGACTTGAGGGCACGCTGTTGAGTAAGAAATTAAATAATATAAAAATCTCCCATATCGAGACTAATTTAAAACGGTTGTAGACCTGAAGCACGAACGACTGCCAGATGAGATTCCACCTGTGGAGAAGCTGATCGAGGACCACAAGGAATTCATGGAGAACACTGCCCGCCGCCAGAACGAGGTGGACCGCGCCTGCAAGCCAAGACAGCTGCCTCCGGGAGCCCGAAAGCCATCCCGCAGCGGCAAGACGCCAGTGTGAGTAGGCCAAGTACTTGGCAATTTGTGGCAAAACTGTAGCTCTGCTGAATACGTTTGTTGTATATATTTATTTTGTATATTTATTTTTGCCTATTTCTTTTTATATCCTTTCTTTTGTATCCACCTTATTGCTACAATATTCCAAAACAAAACAAAATACCCCCGCAACGTCTTGCACACCTATTTCTCTGCCTATCCAAAAAACACACCATCCAATGAACCAACTACCGCCCAACAGTCGTGGCTCCAGTCACGATCTGCGTGAACAATCGCCCGATGGCACCCTGAGGCGTCAAAGGTTTGGCCGCAAGTTTATACTGTATTGCCCGCTACTCTTCTCATCCACTCACCCAGTGGCGAATGTGCTTACACACCATCCTCACATGAATGGACTTAGTAATTGCCCCTAACATCTAAACCCCGAAACCATTCAGTATACTTGTTAAACAACCCCAAGTAGCGCTAATCATGCTAGTCCAGCACTCCTCGAAAGAATCACTCTGCTTAATCAATGCTTTTAAAACTTTTGCTTGTTCGATCCCATTTGTAACTTTAGTAAAGATAATTATTTTTTTCACAGCTTCAAGGGATCTCGTGACCAGGGACTCAACGCTCGCAAGGGAAGGTGAGTTATGATTTGGGGTTACGCATTCCGTATTTCAAGAATAGATAGATTACGCATGTACCTTAAAATTCTCAAATTAAAGTTATTTTTTTTAACTTTTTAACTTCTTTTGGAAATGCTGCGTCTACAACTATTCGAAATAATTATAAACATATCAATTTAATTTGATATTATTTATGTTACTTGCCATTATTACTGTGTTTTGCTTATTTTGTTTGTTACTTTACCATTTTGTTTTGTCTCTTTTTCATTCTACTTTCATCTTGTCTACACTCTACGCTACGTAAACGTTGCTCATACCGCTCGAAAATATCAATTCAAATTATGCATCTTGCCACTTTATTTGCCTATGTCTATGTTTAAAACTAAATCTCTAAGCAGTCGTATCACGCCCACACGTGACACGCCCGACAGGGATCGCCTGCCACACTACGGCCCCCGATTCTCGCCAAGGTACGTCCTCGAAAACCAACAATATCATTCATATATCATCTCAAGATGTGCATGTCCAAATGTTTGCATGTAAATTTGGTTACCATATTTCCATATATATATATAACTCTTATTTAAAACCTTACATTTTTAAATTAGCAGCTCTGGACCGGAACTGGAATTCCGTTCGCCCCGCGCTAAGCTTCTATGGACCAAGTGGCGCGATGTTTGGATGCTCTCATGGGAGCGCCAGCGTCTGCTTAACGATCATCTTCTGTACTTGAAGGATGTGGAGCGTGCCCGAAACTTCAGCTGGGACGATTGGCGCAAGCGCGTAAGTACTTAAATATGTTTTATAACACCTCATAGACAAAATATTTATTTTAATTTCGTCTACACTAAAAGTTCCTCAAGTACATGAACCACAAGAAGTCGCGCTTGACGGATCTGTTCCGCAAAATGGACAAGGACAACAATGGCATGATTCCACGCGATGTTTTTATCGATGGCATCATAAACACGAGTAAGTTTTACGAAACTTGTCCTTGTCATTACCAACTGCTAAGCTAAAAGCATGAATTCCTTTTAGAATTCGACACCTCAGGCTTGGAAATGAAGGCTGTTGCTGATCTTTTTGATCGAAATGGCGAAGGTCTCATTGACTGGCAGGAATTCATTGCTGCACTACGCCCCGATTGGCAAGAACGCAAGCCAGCCAATGATTCGGACAAAATACACGACGAAGTCAAACGTCTGGTCATGCTGTGTACCTGCCGGCAGAAGTTCCGTGTGTTCCAAGTTGGCGAGGGCAAGTACAGAGTAAGTTCAACAGCGGAAATCTTTGACTGAGTGAAACTGATTTACCCATTTCTGACAGTTTGGAGACTCCCAGAAGCTACGCTTAGTTCGCATCCTTCGCAGCACTGTAATGGTGCGCGTGGGCGGTGGCTGGGTAGCCCTAGACGAATTCCTGCAGAAGAACGACCCTTGTCGCGGTAAGTTAACCATCTATCTGAAGCTATATCAAAGACACCAAATTTAGTTGTGTTGCGTACACACATTTTCGAAATTTGTTGGACTTCATCCATTCAACATCAGTAAATGTCACATACATTACAAACCTACATATATCTACAATATTATTCCAGTAGTCCACATATTTAATATTTCACCCTAATCATGCATTTTGTCCATACCCTGATGCTGTGCATCGTTTGATCATTTCATTAAACGCATTCGTATCACATCTAGGTACAGTTGTGGTTAACAACTAATTATACTTTAATGCCAAATAATAATAATACCAAACGGATATGGTCATTTAACCAACCAACAGCAATCCGACCAACAACAGACTAATGTGCCTAAAATAATACCGGAAACGAAAACAAAATAAATCCGGAACTTAGAAAGAGAATCCATTATGTATACCTCCTTCATTATTTATGGTCCAAACTCGTCTAAAAAATCTAAAACGAAATTAACAGTGTGCCATATTTTTATTTATTGCCATCCAGCCAGCATCAAAAACCACCTCATAAACACAATAACCCAGCCAACCGAAAACAACAACCAGATCCAATAAAACCCAAAGTCCAATGAGGCCGAGGGTTTTTACCATTTACTTTACTCATGCTCATTTTTGTCGCTTCGTTTATCTAACTGCGTAACAATTAGCTGCTAAAAGTCAATAAAAACACACATCAACGCCACCAAAAAAATCCTACCTACCTACCTACCTACTGTACCTTTTTTCTATTAGTTAGCTTTATTAACCAGGTTTCTTCACCCAACTTTAAGCGTTAGTCGAAATAACAATGTATAAAGAAATCAGTATTTCAGAACGTTTTCTTGTTAATCATATTCTGCTTGAAACTAACATCCTGCTTTACTTGTGTAGCAGTCTAGCATCCTCAGTTGACTAACGGAGGGTGTGAAGACTATAACTTAATGTCACACTTTTTATGTTTGAAGCTTCACCGATTTCGTTGTGCGTCCTCTGGTTAAATTGAAATTTGTGTATTAATTTGTGTTTCACGTTTTTCGTTTTTACTAATCAAATTTTATGTTTACGCCTTTTTCTTTTTTTCAAAATGGTTACCTTTATTATACCGAAAATCGTTTGAATCTTGATTAAACGATTCCGATAACTATACATATGTGTATGCTCTTCGCTTGCGCTGCCCGCTCGCCACGCCCACGATCCACGTCCACGCCCACGCCCGATATGCACCCGCCTGTGCCCACACCGAAATACTAAACAACAACCAATTTCAAAACAAAACACACCAACTGAAAAACAAACTGTGACCAATACTTTGCGGTAACGAACTTTCGTTGTTATTGTTGTTGTTTATATGTTCGCCCTACAACAAAACATTGCCTATCCGTGTATATGTTATATGTGGGTGACATGCCATGCCGATGCATATAAATGCATTATCTGTGCATTGGCACTGCAACTGCAATCGCTACCAAAACCAATGCCACTGTTACCCGGGAGCAGCCAAGGGACGCACTAACATAGAGCTGCGTGAGCAATTCATATTGGCCGATGGCGTCTCGCAGAGCATGGCCGCATTTACACCCAGACGTTCCACGCCCAATGCGGCCGCCACTGCCTCCTCCTCACCCAATGCCCAAAATGGCGGCAGCTCCAACTTGCCGCCCTATATGAGTGGACAAGGTCCCATCATCAAGGTAAATCAAACCGCAAATAAATCTGAAGCAGAGAGCGAAGGAAAACCTTCTTTCTTCCCATTTCATTCTCATCATATTTGTTCTTAATCGGAATTGATCCTGTTTGAATCTTCAGAAGAGCTAGTACCTTTATTTCTGTTAAAACTATTGAATAATTAACCAAGTTTAATTTTCTTAGCCAAAAACTCTATTTAAAAAGTATACTTCTTTAAAATCGTATCAATTTTACGTTGATTTGGATTTGATTTAGTCTCAGTTACTTATGCTAACATACTTACTTAACTTCTTTAGAACTCCATCGTACAAACTTCCTCGTTCTGTAGAACTTATGAACTAAATCTTTGAGTAAAGATAGGAATAAAAACAAAAATGTATTAACTTTTTAGAAGAGTAAAATTCTATCAATTCTGAATTTGGCAAACTTGACCGAAATTGAAAAGGAAAACAAGTGTAAAAGGGATTATTGGTTAATTACTACTCATTCAAAAATCTCCAAATCACGCAAGGGCACAAGGTAAGTGCCTTTTTTCCGTTTTTGGGTTCGTTGTGTGTGTGTGTGTTGTTGACAAAAAAGCTCCTGCTGCTGCGCCGCCGACTCTTTACATATAATTTACAAATCTGCATGAGAACCGAATACTTTCGTATCGTATATATGTTTGTTTAATCGTGTAATTTAAGTATCCAAGTATATTTTTTACATTTTTGCGACCTTTTTGAGTTGATGCTAGAATACAGTACACCCTACACTATTTATGATAAGACATTTAGGTGATCAGGAAAGGTTAGGTTGTTGTCCACGGCGTAAATGATCATATACCGTTTGTCAGCTGTAACAAGTCTGTCATTGTTGGTTAAACGTATCGAAATTAATTCTCTAGCCGACGAGCACTTGGCCGAGCTAATGCCAATCTTTGAGAAAATCCGCGCTCAAGACCAGGTTCCTTGCGCCTTTCCCATTCACATGGGTGCCGGCGGTACAGTATTTGTCCGTTGCAATACTAGCCGCTCGGTGCCACTGAGTCCACACGTGCTGCATTGTCATCCAACAACACACTGGGTAAGTTTGGAGACAGCAGGAAGAGCAGATCAAGGTCCAGGAAGAGCGTTTGAAAGCAGTTTCATGCTCACAGGGTTCTTGAACTCTAAGTAAATCTTAGTTATAATATATGTTTATTTTCCGTACAGGTACGAGAGCGATCGGTTCGCTCCATACCCATGTCGCGACCATCGCGCTCCTCACTCTCGGCCAGTACTCCCGACTCCCTGAGCGACAACGAGGGCAGCCACGGAGGTCCTTCAGGACGGTACACGCCCCGCAAGGTCACGTACACGAGCACACGCACGGGTCTCACGCCAGGAGGCTCTCGTGCCGGTTCCAAGCCCAACTCGCGCCCGCTCAGCAGACAGGGATCGAAGCCACCGTCGAGACATGGTTCCACGCTGTCGCTGGATAGCACGGGTTAGTAGTTATTGGATCAGTGATCCTGCATAAGTCTAAATGATGATTTACCTATCGAAATAAGCCAGTTAAAAAGGGGTTTCAACTTACTTACTAATTTTATTTAATTACTTATAACAGAACTTGTATACTTCAAACTTCCGTCTGTAACATTTTTGTTTTCATTTCTTTAGATGATCATACGCCCTCACGCATTCCGCAACGCAAACCTTCGACAGCCAGTACCGCCAGCGGCACCACACCGCGTCCGGCGCGACTTTCTGTGACCACCACTGCAACTCCGGGAAGCCGTCTCAATGGCACCAGCACCATCACCCGCAAGACCGCCTCTGGATCAGCCAGTCCGGCGCCAACAAGGTAGGCTTCTAGGATCTAAACAGTAAATGGAAGCGAGATGATGGGGGACATTGGTCGGGATTGAAAACTCTTAATTATCCAAACTCGTATTAATTTATTATTTTTTATTTTCCCACTGTTTTCGGATTACCGCATTAACTTTTGAACAACACCACTCACACAAACAATCAACATCATGAAACGCTAACTCACAACACCAATTGGCATTTAACCATTTGAAATTTGCTTGAACGCAACTAAAAATGCAACTAAAACTCGTGCCTGAAACCACAAAAAAAAAAAAAAAAAAAAATTATATTATAAACTGAAACAGCAACGGAGGCATGAGTAGATCATCCAGTATACCAGCACTAACCGGCTTCGGTTTCAAACCAATTAGGTAATACAGCGCCGAACGGCTTACACCACTTAACATTATTTCTTACTCATAAGTTTAGGCTAGATGTAAGATCGCGATCATTTATCGTAGGCAGCGGTTATGGTTTACCTTTGCTAACTAATGTTGTACTTACTACCCCAATCCAAAAAACATCAAAAGCCGGCCATCGCGGATACCGATTAAGATACCCTCATTTGATTCCAAGTCAACATCGCCCAGCTCGACTACGAATCCAACCAGCTTTGGGTAAAGTTAATAAGCCTACAACAAAGACATTTAACTAGTCAATTTTCAACTCAGTCTAGAGCAAGTAATTATGATTTATACTCGTTTAATGTTACTGTTAAGTTTTCTTGTACGTTGAACCTTTTCCGAGCATGTAGATGTCAATGTGCATGTGCCACAAAACAACGAGCAAAAAATGCTTTCGACTAACGTTAAGTTCGATTACCAGATTAAAATACATTTTTTGTTCTTTTTATGTGTTATAGTGTGTACAAATATTTTTTAAAAATAGCAACTAATATATATGTTTTCGATCCCAGGCGGAACATCAGCGGTAGCTCAACACCCTCCGGGATGCAGACGCCGCGAAAAAGTTCTGCGGAGCCCACTTTCAGCTCAACGATGCGACGCACTTCGCGCGGTACGACGCCAACGGAGAAGCGAGAACCGTTCCGTCTTTAGGAACTCAACCTTATTAACGAGAATGACAATAGACAAGCAAATGAATGCCAAGATTTAAACCACATACACACAACTTTACGTACTAACTACGCACTGAAGTTATAAATTAAACCCAAACCTTCTCCAAAATGAAGAGACTACATAAGCAATGTATGTAGTAGGGACATATACTAACTTTCAAGTGCCCTAACGGAGTGGAAAAGCGAACACTTTATATATGTTTATGCTACAAATATTTTGTAAAAGACACACAGATGAGAAGTAATGCAGACACATAGCTAACACACAAAGTGGATCAGACAAGCAACCTACTTACGAGTACTACTAACACTAATACTACCTTTTGCTACTACTAAAATATAATGTCCACTACCTTTATTTACTAGTTTTACACGTTCCCAAAATTATGATTTGTATATACTTATAAAACAAGAGTAAATTAATGAAAAATACACTCCAAGTGCTTTAAGGCAATTAAAAAAAACACAAAAAATATCGAAAATATATCTAGAAAAAGATACAACTTTCGAATGAAATGTCGGCGCCACCGCTGCAAACCATCTTGGGTCTACGGGCTCCATTGGAATCGCCAGTCCGGTGGATACTCAGCCCCAAGAACGGAGCGTGGTGGAGGCGAAACGCCCAAAAAATAACTAAACCCATTAAAGAGATAAAATTTGATTTTGTTCTGTTATTAAACTAATAGGAAAGTGCAAATTGTAAGTCGCATAAAGAAAATGTTTAATTATATACTAAAAGTCATTACTATAAGTTTAATTAATATTTAACTGTTAAGCGACAAAAACACACACAGATTTTGTATTGCATTATTTTGTTTTTTATATGCAATATCAGCGAATGAAAATCGATGCAGAAGGGCGAAATGAAAATGAGCCCGCTTATATAAATATTGTAAAATACTAATACTAAATTATTTTGTTGTACGAAACGAAAGAAATACATTAAAACACGATTTTTGTAATTCTATTTAATTAAAACAATTTAAATGCGAAATAAACATTTACAAAAAATAACATCATAAACCAAAATTTTTTCATTTTTAGATGATCCATCCCGCCCGAGTAAAACGCAAGGCACAGCACCCAGTTGATTTCCGAATTTGATTTATTCATTTAAGTTCTCAATCGTAGTATTTATTTGACACATTGAAATTGAATTTTCGATATAATACCATGGACGATCCGTGTGGATCGGATCCCTATTTGGTTGCCTACAAACACTCAATTAATTGTGATATTTAAATATGGGTGCATGCATGCTAATGCAGATGCCCTGTATCGGGTTTCTTCCTCCTCTGCCGCCTCATTTCCTCCATACACTGACTAGAAATGCCGCTCCAACTTCCACCGTGAAGTAACAGTTGGACTTTTGTGCCACAGGCCGCCAGATAGAGAATTATTTATACTAAACTTCGAAGTGCAGTTGCAGATTATGCGTAAGTGGATATCAATACCGTCGTCCTTTCGAGCTTTGCAATGCTATGGTGTAATCTCGTCAACGCCAGCGCTGCCTGTGTGTTGTGCTGCTAAATACATGCTGTTCTACGTTTTAGCTATTAAGGGCCCTACTAATATCGGGTCGGCATGTTGCCGCAAGTCTTTTGTAAATTATTACAAATATCATTATAATTAAAGTACAACTAAATATCATCATCAATATAACCAAAATTAGCTAACCCGGCTCGATAAAGCTAACTAAATATAAATATATACGAACATACGAACAAAAAAATTCACAGAATCGTGTGCGCCTCACAAAACTAAAGCTGGGCCGTTTGGGATGGTGCTTCATTGTGTATTAGCAGCATGGCAACGCTATGGGTATCCGAATTCCCATCTCATCCGGGAGCCATCGTCACCTGGCAAGCCCGGAGCTGGCCGACTGAGCCTTCGCCTGCTTCCCGTTGCCCGTGTTCGATGCGGAGCTGGAGCCAACGGCGGTGGCTGCAGACGCGTTCTGCTCGCGATCCCTTTCAACTCGATGGTGGTGGCCATGCTGATGATGATGGTGCCGTCTGCCGCCGCGATAGTGCCGTCGATTGTGGTGATAGTTGTTGTTGGTCGGCTCCGGCATGATGCGCTGGGTCTCCTGTACCACTGGAGCAAATGTGGTGCTAGTGGTGGGCTTGATGGCGTCTTCTTTGGCCGGTCCTTCTAGCTTCTTGGCTGCATCGGCCTCCTCACGACCCCGCCTTCGTCTGATATCCTCCTCGGTCTCGATGGAAATCACGGCCGATCCCTCGGCATTCACATCGATGATGGCACCGCGACTCTTCTGCTGCAGATACAACTCCGACATGCGCTGCTGCATCTGGCGCAGCTCCTCGGTCACCTTAAAGTCTGGTGCATTCAGCAGCTCCGATGGTGGCATGGCGCACTTGAGGCTGTCGGTCTCGTCGCCAATGTGCTCCCGGCAAACGGGGCACAGCGCCTGGAAGGGATCGGCCGTCTTCTGCAACCAGGCGGGCAGCTTGTCGAACTCCTCCTGGTAGTTGCGGCGCAGAGCGTTAAGATGTCGGGCCAGGCAGTAGCTGTGCAGGTAGTGAAAGCACTCGGTGCGGGTGAACTCGTCGCCATCGGCGAATCCATAGAGACAGACCACGCACTGGCCACTAGGCAGATTGCTGCCGGTCAGGTGCTCCCGCACCACCTCTATCAAGTCGAAGACCACCGGAAAGCCCACCGACTCCTTGATCTTGGCATTGCAGGCGCTGCGGATGGCCTCCAACCGTGCATCGTCCAACCCACGCGGACGCAGCAGCTTGAATGTGGGACTCTCCTCCGGATATCCTGGCGTCGGCTGCACCTGCAAGGTGACGCACACGTACTGCTGCTCCTCCTCCTCGCCGGTCAAAGGTAGCACCGTGGTCTCAATCTGCTCCACCTCGCCGCTTTTTGGTATTCGAGTATTTCAGTACTTCGGTATTATTAAAATAAAGCTATCTTGCCTACCTGGGTGTACGCTTGATGCGAACATCGTCCATCAGAATGGCTTCTAGGGACTCCACCTCGTCTTGTAAACTGCAAAAAAACCTTTGCTTGATAAAAAGAATACAACTATGATTTACCGCTTTCTTATGCTTACGCGTCCATTTTGCCAGAGGTTATTTAGTTTTTTGAGTATTTCTTGAGGTTTTGTTTAAAAAATCGATCTGAGACACCTGAAATTTAGCGAAAACACGGCGGCCGTTTGTTGTTATGCTAAAAATACCAAAAACCGAAATCCCCTAAATGTAGCTCACTGGCTGCAACGGTCACACTTACCTGCATAACAATTTTCCTTACATTACTCTTAAAAAATAAAACTCCTGCTTTTAATGTTGCCCCGTAGTGTTGTATGTGGAATCCGCCGCCCCGCCATATGGAGTCGCCACATGTCAGTGGTGGCCAAGTCCCTAAAGTATACTCAACATGGCGAGCCACAGGATGTTTTGCAGCTGGTGGAGGACACTCTTCCCGATCCAAAGGACAACCAGGTGCTAGTCAAAATCTTGGCGGCACCCATTAACCCAGCGGACATCAACACTATCCAGGGTAAGTCCAGCTCAAGATACATATGTACGTATGTGTTATTATCAACATTTACACCTGTACATGCATATAAAGGAATAATTTCAGCTTTATGAAATTAACTGAACTTTGAACTAGAGATCCGGAAATCGCAAAAAATCTTCCTTCCAGTACTTAAGAACATATGTTATTCGGAAGGAAATAGCTGCCATGGAACAATCGACAATTAGTTAAAACAAATTTAGAACTTCGGGGTTTTTAGACAGCGTATATGTACATATGTATGTTTAAAACACAGATTTTATAATTTGAGAAACACCAATTAAATTGTTTTAAAATCAGAATTCAGAATCGTCAATCGACATATTTTTGGATATAACAAGAGTTGTAGAGTATTGTATTGCTGCCCAAAGAAATGATAAAAAAATATGTTTTATTTTATATGTAGGTAACTATAGATACAAGGCTATATAATTCGGACTACCGAAGTTGACTTCCTGTTTTTTTATACAGGCGAATTTTGTCGGCACGTCCGAACTGGATTAAATATTCTTGTAAGACATTGCATCTTTAAAACTGCAAAATAAATTTTCGATTTTGTTATTTATAAAAAATAATAAAAGACAACTTAAATAGATTAATTCATGGTCCTCTTATCATGACTAGCCAAATTAAGGCTTTACCCCTGCAGGGAAAGGCAGAACACTTACCGTCAAAGACGATCACACCAGTAAATAGGCTTAGGTCTTAAAACGCGTTCTAATAAGTAACCCTTAAATCGCACACAGGCAAGTACCCAGTGAAGCCAAAGTTTCCAGCCGTTGGAGGCAACGAGTGTGTGGCCGAGGTCATCTGCGTAGGCGACAATGTTAGGGGCTTGGAGCCAGGCCAGCATGTCATTCCACTGGCCACCGGTCTGGGCACCTGGACCACGCATGCCGTCTATAACAAGGACCAGCTACTGGCGGTATCCAAAAAAGTGGGCTTAGCGGAGGCAGCCACCTCGACGGTGAATCCCCCCACCGCCTACCGCATGCTCAAGGACTTTGTGCAGCTCTCTCCTGGAGACACCGTCATCCAGAACGGAGCCAATAGCGCCGTTGGCCAGGCAGTGCATCAGTTGTGCCGTGCGTGGGGCATCAATAGCATAGGCATTGTCCGAGATCGGCCGGAGATTGACGAACTAAAGCAAATGCTGCAGTGCCTAGGAGCCACAGAGATCCTGACCGAGACCGAGATCCGCACGAGTGACATTTTCAAGTCTGGCAAGCTGAAGAAACCCCGACTGGCCTTCAACTGTGTGGGCGGTAAGAGTGCCACTGAGGTTTCGCGTCATCTGGACAACGGCGGCGTGATGGTCACATATGGCGGCATGTCTCGCGAGCCCGTTACCGTGGCCACCGGACCCCTAATCTTTAAGGACATTGCATTTAGGGGCTTTTGGATGACGCGCTGGTCCAAGGAGAACTACAGTTCCGCCGAACGATCGGAAATGTTCAAAAACATATTCGATCTGATGGAGCAGGGAAAGTTTGTGGCCCCCAAGCATGAGATGGTGCCTTTGGATCACTTTAAAGACGCGGCGGCTGCTGCTCTGAGCTTTAAAGGATTCACAGGCAAGAAGTACATATTGAACATGAGCATTTAGCTCCGAACCTTGAGGCTAAGCCTGCCATTTAATTTACATGAATTATTATGTATTAAATTTGTAGTCTAATGTGATTCAACTCAGACCATCTCCACCTCGTTAGACTGATACTTGAGCTGCAGAGTCATTGCGGAGGGCGAGGTGACATCGGTAACAGTCAGCTGCTGGCCATCCTGCAGTCCCAGTTCGCCCAGCGACTGCGTCAGGTTCTTGCGGGTGGCCTTCTCAATGCTCTTCACCGTGGACATGTACAGGGTCTTCTGCTTGCCATCCTTCATTACAGTGGTAAGAGCCGGGTTTTTGAGCTGAAAACGCGGAGAGTCGCACAACAGCTTGATGACATCCTCTAGCGTGGTGGTGTTGGGATCCTCGATGGGCAGCGACTGCGGCGTGTTGCTGCAGGCCAAGCAGCTCTCCGACTTCTCAGCCTCGTAGGTGTAGGTATAGATCCCGTCCAGATCGTTAAAGTTCAGGTAGTTGGCCATGCTATCATAGCAGCTGGTGGCCAACTTAAAGACCTCCAGAGCGCAGGCGGCGGCTATGGCTGCATTGGTACTGGCCACGGCGGGAATAATGTGCTTGACAACTCCCTGGACCAAGCGATATGTAACACCGGTTATGTTGAACTCGTTGGCTCGCTCCAGAGCCCTTTCGTAGACCCACCCAATATGCTGGGGGTCGTCGCCATCCAGTGGCACTCCAAACGGACTCTGTTTCTCCCACTGTATGATCTTTACGTATTCAATGCAGTGCTCCGGAAGGCGGGGTGTATTTGCTATGGTGCATAGTGGATAGTTGACCTGCGGTGGGAACAGGTCCAAGGTGCACTCAATGCAGGCCGTAAATCCAGGCAGGATGACGCGGGCATTGCCCTTAAATCCTTCGGTGCCACCGTCAATCATGGGCACAATAGAGCTGGCATCTAAGGTGCCGTCTTCCTCGTAGCGCAGCATGGAGAGCAGCATGCCATTGATCCAGCGACGGGCCACGATCGAGTCCAGGCCGCAGACGACCATGTGGAACTGCTGGTAGAAGGTCTCGTCAAAGTCCTGGATTTTCTTAAAGTGTGGCGTCACCCGGCAAGAGGGCACTCGTCCGTTGATGAAGCGCGCCGCGCACTCGGCCTTTGATGCGCCAATATCCGTTCGGCGGAACAGGAACTGCCGGTTTAGGTTGGACAGCTCGATGGTGTCCATGTCGATGACGTGCAGATTTCCGAAGCCTATCAGAGCTAGGTCCTTGAGCAGTTCGCAGCCCAGTCCGCCGGCTCCGATGATCAGAACCTGGCACTTGGTCTGCAGGAATTCCAGATTGTCTGGCGAGGCCGAAAAGTCGTCCTTGCAGAAGGGACCTTCGCGCTCCAGGATGTTGCGCAGTCCATTGAAGCGCTTGCTCTGCAGGATCAGGACGGGATTGGGCGAGTGGACAGACATTTTTGAGTTCAAATCAAATGAAATGCAACTTGCCCCTCCAGCCGCAGTGTTAGAAACGGCGATTCGTTTTGCCACACTGGTTGAGGCACTGTATCGAAACATCAGAGACGATAGATTTTAATACCGTCATCACACCACTGTCGGTTGAGTTCTTGCGACCCATTCACACAGGCTCCCGCTGTTGCTAAATCAGTTGTTGCAGAAAAATGTTTGCGACTCATTCACTCAGGCACCCGCTGTGACCCGCTAGTCGCCTACAAATAGTTAACAAGCCCGAAAAGAAGAAGAAGAGAACGGTAATAAAGTTGATAATTATGCATAAATTAAAAGAAATCCAAAAAACACTTGGGTGTGCTAAGGTCGGCTACACTTCCGAAAAGCCCCAACGCCCGATTGGTTTCAAATTTTCACGATCCATGTATTTCAGTGTCCTGATAACTAATAAATAGGTCAAAGTTTGCGACAAGATCGATTTCTTGGAAAATATGGGCTTATGACACTACATTGTTGGCCTCATTCATTGCTCATTTTTTGTTTTGACTATAAGATTTTACGTAGGTGCGAGCAAGACAACCTATGACGATTCCAATGAACGAGGAAAATTGTCAGAACCGATAATTTTACCATTAAAAGGTTTTCACCTTTAAAAGTTCAAATTATCGGGATAAACACAATATAATAAACAAATCAAAAAGTTTGAATTTTATGTTAAAAAGGCAGTGTGACCATGATTTTATAACCAACAAAATCTCAAGCAGTATCCATATAGTTGTCTCTGTCTCTGAGCTTCAATAAATTTGTAAATGAATGAGGCCGTATAACGAGAGGTGGAAGGTGGATTGATCTCTGTGGAAATAGGCTATAAGATGAATCGGCTATTAGAAAATCCAAGTTCTCCACCATCCAAGTTCTCAACCAATCGATATTGGCATCGATGATTCCCCCACCTCTATTGTCAACAGAACAGAAAAATAATAAGCCAAAAGATTATTGCTCTAGCTTCGAGACTCGAAGTTCGAGTAGCAGCAATTTTAACTCAGAGACATGTAAGTATAGTCAACTGTGAAAAAGACTATACATTTGGTTTGCTTATTTCGGACAGGGGTAAGCACAGAACTGCCCAGCAGGATGCAATATTCGTTGCCTTTATGGAGCGACATCCAATCATATCGAAAAATTACCTCAAAGGCGACAAGCAAGCGGCGGAGGCAGCCTGGAAGAGATTGTCAAAGGAGCTCAACAGCGTTGGTCCGCCTGTCAAGGAGGCCTGCGAATGGAAGCGGGTAGGTGCTTCGAAATCTTTTTTTTTTTATGTCTTTATGATGTTCTGTTTGTTAGGTGTGGAAGGATTGGAAAAGCTGCATTCGTAAGAAGATAACTAATAACCGGCTAGAGGACTCTAAGGCTTGTGGCAAAGGATCGCTGTACCAAGATACACTCACACCTCTGGAGGATGCAGTCGCCGTGATCTGCGACTTGTACGACATGGCTGACACCATTGTCGAAGCGCGTCCCAAGACCCAAATCGAAGGGCATCAAAGCCTTTCTCTGCAAAGCTTAAAAACTGACAACGAGGAAGGCACTGTAACGGATATTGGTACGAAAACATTAATTAAAAATGGATCATTGTTCCCAACTCTAGTCCTTTTGCAGACGAGTATGATGATGACGAAGAAGAAGAAGAAGATTGTAGCAACCCAATAAATATTAGAAGTTCAGGTGTAAAACATGAGCCACGAACTACAAGAACTACTGCGAAACGAAAGCTGGATGAGGAAGACACTTTGGAAATTGAACAGGACAGCGCAGTTCCGGTCCTCATGGACATAGCAAAGGAACTCCGCAATTTAAATAAACAAACACGCCTAAACGCGCAGCGAACTGAAGCTAATACTGCCTCCATATTAGCTCTGGGTACTCAGATATCAGAATTAATGCAGCAGCAGTTAAGGGAACGAAAGCGCCTTAATGCCATAATGGAGAAATTTGTACTCAAAATGGAATCCACAGAATAGAGCCAATCCTGAAGACTACCGAAAAATGTATTGTTTTTCTTACGTGGTTTGTTATAAGGCTACATTGTCAAGATATTGTTTCTTTCTATTAGTACTAGCAAGCCCTGAGCGGCTTTGCTCGCTTTTTAACAAGCAAGACGTGTAGCAATATTGTACCCTAGCAGAGGATACTAATTGTCATTTTAATTCAATTCAACTCGATTATCTCTGTTACGACAGGACAATGTGTAAAATATCGTTAAAACACCAACTTATTCACCAATATATGGTAATAAAGCGTTTCTTAAACAAAATGTAATACATTTCTTGAATTTTAAAAGAAGCTAACCAAAACATATTTAGCTACTAAAACACAACAAACTTTAAAATGAGTCGATAAGTTATAGCCCAGTCCCACAGAGCCCGTCCAAACTAAACGGTTGGGATTTTGAATGGATGGTGGCCTGTGGGACTAGGCCATTATCGTCGATGGAGAAACGGTTTCCCCGGTTTCAAAAACTCAAAGATGGTTTTTTTTTTTCTTAAATTTTTAGCTACTAAATCACCTAATCAAAAAATGCGGATTTCTTAAGAAAAGAAAGATCTAAATATAAAAAAGGGTTTCAGTAAGTTCAAAGTCTGCAAGTGCTTAAAATTTGAATTTGAAAAATGCGATCCCCACACTTTGGGGAATTCCTTCACTCAGATAGTGAGTTCCAAATGAATTTAAGCCATTCAGAAGCAATTCCACAAAATATGCACAATTTTCGAGAAAATGCATAAAATGCATAAATCCGCTCATACTCAAAAAGGCAAGGTCAACAAGTCAACCATCTTTGTTTATGTTTTAATGAGTCACAGCTATTCAGATCAGCTGTTGTTGGATGGTGGATTGTGGATGTGCTCTATTGAAATCGGAGTTTCACATTTTTCAAAAACCACAACTGTTTTTCAGGGATGGACTGCGTGGAAAGAGAGTAGCACCGAAAAAACAGCGGTTAGCTATCGTATAAACAAGTCCATCAAATTTGGATGGCGCACTATCTTGGAAATGTTCTATACGGCAAAACCTTATGGACTATCCCTTCAACGGAAGATGGATGGATCTCTGTGGGAAGACGCCATAACAGTAGGCGCATTTTAAACGGATCCGAAAATGATCCTAAACCCTTGAACCATACTCTTACCCCTTTCGCAGAGCGTTTTTCAAGTTGAAAGCTATTTTAAAAAAATGCTTTGATTATTTCCTAAACGACTGAATCTCTGAGTTCCTGAAAATTCAGCAGAAAATTTTAGCAATTGAAAAAAATACGACCCAACATTTCGTGCTGGAATGGTCAAACAGTTAACAGCTGTTAAATTAAATTAAGACCTAACTTGGTTTGTCTTAGCTTTTGCTTGATTTCGAGGAAAAGGCCACGAAAAGCAGAAGGACGAACTAATGTTTAACAAGCTACAGACTGTCTAAACTTCTTTTTTTTTGCATATATAGACCATTGTTGCCCTCTAACTATCAGTAAGAAATATGAATATAAGAATATCAGCGACCCATGCTTTTCAGCAATTCAACTTACAAACTCTGGAGAATGTTTCAATCAGAGGTTTTCTTAGAATTCAATAATTTTGGGCCTGCAGCATTTTCATGGTGAATCAGCCATAGTTAATTGACATTTCAGCCCTTGGCGTTATTAAATCTAGTTTATCTATGATTATAAACTCCTCTACGAGTACTTTTATGAAGGTTTCATTAACACGTTTTGGAACACGCTCTGAAAAGGGCGAAGGAAGGTTAGCTTCTATTGGTATTTTAATGACAGAGTTGAATTTGGATTTATTTATTATTTAACAATTCTGCATATGATTTACTTTATTAACTATTAAATAGCAAAAATATAAAAACAGTCCCTTTTTCCAAATTGACCACCAAACCAGTTCAAATTCTTTTGCGCCAAGTCCCACAGAGCATCATCCACCAACTCCTTGAAAGATGGTCCGTAAGGTTTTCCCGTGCATAACTTTGACGCACAGTCAATGTCGTATCAAAATCTTGAAAAATGGGGCAGTGGCATCAGGGTATAACGGAAAACTCCAAAATAGTGAATAGTGGAAACTGGTATTTGTGGTGGAATGCTAGACTTCACGTAACCAATATCGATTTCGGAATAGACGCATAAAAAAGAATAGGCTGAACAACTGTTCTTTGTCTGGATTTGTCAACGAAAATTCTCCCTCTGTTTACTGGATATTTGTGTTGTTGTTTTCGGTCATTATTGTTGAAATTTCCCCACGAAAGTTAATCGATATGCCAAATATCTAGTATATATCTAGTAATCATCAAGTAAACATTGGTAAAAATCCCAAATTTCTAGAATGATGCAATTTGACGCACTTTTCCCATCTCTATCTTCCTATACAAAACCTTTGTAAATAAAACTGCGTCTAGCCACAGACGCAACCCAAGTGTAAATAGGCCCTAATAAAACGCGTTAGGGCGTTCCATTCTCGGCATTATTTTCTTACCCAAAAAAAAAAGCAAAAGGAAATATATCGATCAGGCTAGCAAGTTTCAATTTGAGTACGAATTAAAATAGCAGAACATGGATATTAAATCATTTCTGTATGAATTTTGCGCTAAGTCGCGTGTTGAACCAAAGTTTGACGTTCGCCAAACGGGTAAGCGATTATAATATGCGTTTTATCAGCTAGCATATTGCAAATAGTTAATGCCAATCACTGCAATCCCAGGTCCGAAAAACCGTCAGCGTTTCCTGTGCGAGGTACGAGTAGAGCAGAACAACTACATTGGTGTGGGGAACTCCACCAACAAGAAGGATGCCGAGAAAAACGCGTGTCGTGACTTTGTCAACTACCTGGTGCGGGTGGGTAAGCTGAGTGCCCAGGATGTTCCGGCCGATGTGGGAGCTTCGTCGGGGGCGGCACCCAAGGCCGGTTCGCTGGTCGAGGGCGGGGACGGCGGAAATCAGAAGCGCGTGTTTGGAGGTCAGTCGGGTCCACAGGATCTGGGCGAGGCCTACCGCCCATTGAACCACGCGGGCGGACCCGATGGCAGCCGCTTCAGCATCATCGACCATGTGCAGGAGCAGAAGGACATGAACGAGGCTGAGTCCATCGATGTTAACGCTGCCATCCACGGCAACTGGACCATAGAGAACGCCAAGGATCGCCTGAATATGTACAAGCAAGCGAACAATATTCGCGACGATTACAAGTATACCCCAGTGGGCCCGGACCACGCTAGGTATGTCTTATTTTTTTTTTTTTATTTGAGCCTGCATTCCGGATTTGGCCAAATTGTTCTACGGCCATGCCTGGAATGCAGCACGAAATCCTTGGGGGACTGTGCGCAAATTGTGGATAGCTGAGCCAGCAGAGCGACGTGGTACGATACTCCAAACTACTAAAATTACGTCCAGCTACCTTTCATGGGGCCTGTAAGCGAAACGGACTCTCATGAAAGGCGGCGTAGGTGGCAGCAATTTAAGCGCTGGCTTGACAGCTGCGTCTTCCCCATTAGCACCACATCGCTCTGTCAGCTGTGCACGGTCGCCCATTAGAGTGGGGGGTCCATGTAGCCCAAGGGTAAGTTCCGCAATTTGGCCCACATTCTGGCTGGAAACTAGCTCTAAAGGCCTTTTCCATCCAGGAGCTTTATGGCCGAGCTGTCCATTTACGTGCCGGGGCTCAAACGCAAGGTGACGGCCCGCGAGACGGGCTCCAACAAAAAGTCGGCCAGCAAATCGTGCGCCCTGTCCCTAGTGCGCCAGCTCTTCCATTTGAAGGTCATTGAGCCGTTCAGCGGATCTCTCAAGAAGAAGAAAGACGAGGAGCTGAAGCCCTACCCGGTGAAGCTGTCTCCTGAGCTGGTCAACAGCATAGACGAGGTGATCCAGGTGCTGGATCTTCCAGTCGTCAATCCGCGCAATATTAAAATCGAACCGGACGGCGCTCCCATTCCACTAATTGTAAGTTATATATTAGTTATTATTTAAATACACCATACTGGATGTTAACAATTGGTTTCCCAGTGTATCGGCTTACAGGGACAGAATTGGTTAGCTCGTTTTTATGAAGTTTGACTGCTCCTGTTTCTAATAAAGTATTGTAGTCTTGTATGCTCGCAACAACTGTAAGATTACCTAAATATATTTCAGAGAGGAAATCAAGTACACATTTAATGCATTGGCAAAGAAATATTGAACACACACCAAACGTACAAATGTGTACATCTTTGAACATTTATAAAAGTATTTCGGTGCGTACACTCCGAATTTGGCCACGTTTTTGATCATTTCTAATTCATCGAATTCTTAAGCATCATGGCCAAATGAAACTATAATATTTTTTTTTCCGTCTAAAACATGCTTTGCATAATAGTTTTTTAAGTACCAACTAGAAAAGTATACCTTTTTACACTGATATAATATTATCATTAATCAATCCGGTTTTTTTGGGTCACTGAACACTGAACTGAACAAAATACATAGGACCTCTTAAAATGATCCCAAGTAACTCATGTTTTTTTTTAGGTTAACATAAACCGTATTGACTCTTTACCACAAGAGGGAGAGAAGCGTCAAGAAAGCTCGGTGATTCCCTGGGCACCTCCGCAGCCAAACTGGAACACCTGGCACGCCTGCAACATCGACGAAGGAGAACTGGCCACCGCCTCGATCGATGATCTGTCGATGGAGTTCGAGCGATCGCTCCGAGAACGCCGCCAGAACGACGAAAATTATCGTCAATTCCTTGAGTTCCGCGACAAGCTGCCCATTGCGGCTATGCGATCCGAGATACTTAGCGCCATTAATGAGAATCCAGTTGTGATCATTCGCGGTAACACCGGCTGCGGCAAGACCACCCAAATAGCCCAGTACATTCTCGACGACTACATCTCTTCCGGCCAAGGTGGCTACGCCAACATTTACGTGACCCAGCCGCGCCGCATCTCGGCAATTTCTGTGGCAGAACGAGTCGCCCGCGAGCGTTGTGAGCAATTGGGCGACACCATCGGCTACTCTGTGCGATTTGAGTCTGTTTTCCCTCGGCCCTACGGGGCCATTCTCTTCTGCACCGTGGGCGTGTTGCTGCGCAAGTTGGAGGCGGGCTTGCGGGGAGTCTCGCACATCATCGTCGACGAGATCCACGAGAGAGACGTGAACAGCGATTTTCTGCTGGTCATTCTCCGTGATATGGTGGACACCTACCCGGATCTGCACGGTAATGTCACAATTGCTTTATTTTTTGTGTAATTTTTTTTTTGTTTAAATGTCATGCAGTTTTTGAGAAGGAGAGCTTATCAAGTAGATTACTAAAGATACATTCATTAGAAATTTGACTTCTTCGAGAAACAAAACACTTCAAATTAAGAATATATTGATTAACCTCGAGTTCCTGGCCACAATGATTCAACCAAGTAATGAATTAACTGGCTTTTACATTAAATTTGTGCATACTTAGTTGGTTCCCAAAAGTTGTATTTCTGAGCCGGATAGGACGATCCCATAGTAACCATCGGAAAATTAAAATAATAGTTAGATATTTCAGACTTACAATTTTAATTTTACTAAAATTGGACGACTATATAATATTACTGGAATCAAAAATTAAAAAAAAAAAAATTACAACTCAGCGGTTTGAGATATACATAGTATGTATGAGTAGAATATTTTATATTTACGGTTTTAGATTTATTAAAATCGGGCGAGCTGCAAGGGTATATAAATTTCGACTGGCCGACCATGCAACTAACAGGACATATTTTCTTTTCGTTTTCCAGTTATTCTTATGTCGGCCACCATCGACACGACGCTCTTCTCTAAGTACTTTGGCGACTGTCCCGTACTAGAGGTGCCCGGGAGGGCCTTCCCTGTCCAACAGTTCTTCTTAGAGGACATTCTCCAGATGACAGAGTTTGTGCCGTCGGTGGAGTCGCGTCGGAAGCGCAAGGAGGCAGAAGACGAGGAGCAGCTTCAGCTCACAGAGAACAAGGAAGAGGCGGAAACCAATTTCAACAAAGTGTGCGAGGACAAGTACTCCCAGAAGACGCGCAACGCTATGGCCATGCTCTCCGAGTCGGACGTTAGCTTCGAGCTGCTGGAGTCTTTGCTGGTGCACATCAAGTCAAAAAACATTCCCGGCGCCATTTTGGTATTTCTGCCCGGCTGGAACCTGATTTTTGCACTCATGAAGTATCTGCAAAGTACGAATACTTTCGGTAATTCAGCCCAGTATCGCATTTTGCCGTGCCACTCGCAGATTCCTCGAGACGATCAACGCAAGGTGTTTGAGCCAGTTCCGGAAGGCGTCACCAAGATCATCCTCTCTACCAACATCGCAGAGACTTCGATAACCATTGACGATATTGTTTTCGTGGTGGATATCTGCAAGGCGCGCATGAAGCTCTTTACTTCGCACAACAACCTAACCAGCTACGCCACCGTGTGGGCCAGCAAGACCAACCTGGAGCAGCGCAAGGGACGCGCCGGACGAGTCCGTCCCGGCTTCTGCTTCACGCTCTGTTCACGCGCCCGTTATGAGGTACTTGAGGACAACCTCACGCCCGAGATGTTCCGCACGCCTCTGCACGAGATGGCTCTCACCATTAAATTGCTCCGGCTGGGCGCCATTCACCACTTCCTGTCGAAGGCCCTGGAACCACCGCCAGTAGACGCTGTTATCGAGGCGGAGGTGTTGTTGCGCGAGATGCGCTGCCTGGACGTCAACGATGAACTAACGCCTTTGGGTCGCCTGCTGGCACGTCTCCCAATCGAGCCGCGGCTGGGCAAGATGATGGTGCTGGGGGCGGTGTTCGGCTGTGCCGATCTGGTCGCCAGCATGGCCTCCTACTCTAGCACATTCTCCGAGGTGTTTCAGCTGGATATAGGGCAACGTAGACTGGCTAATCATCAGAAGGCGCTGAGTGGCAACAAATGTTCCGACCACGTGGCCATGATTGTGGCCTCGCAACTATGGCAGAACGCCAAGCACCGCGGCGAGCAGGCAGAAGCTAGGTTCTGCGAATGGAAGGGTCTGCAGATGTCGACTATGAACGTAATGTGGGATGCGAAGCAGCAGTTGCTGGATCTGCTCCAGCAGGCCGGGTTCCCTGAGGAGTGCATGATACCGCACGAGGTGCACGCAGACGCTGATCAAGACGACCCAGTGCTGGACGTGTCGCTGGCTCTTCTGTGCCTGGGTCTCTACCCAAACATTTGCGTGCACAAGGAGAAGCGCAAGGTGCTGACTACGGAGTCAAAGGCGGCGCTGCTGCACAAGACTTCTGTGAACTGTAGCAACCTGGCCGTGACCTTTCCGTATCCGTTTTTTGTCTTCGGCGAAAAGATCCGCACGCGGGCCGTATCCTGCAAGCAACTGTCGATGGTCGCGCCTCTACAGGTGATGCTCTTCGGATCGCGCAAGATCGACTTGGCCGCCAACAACATGGTGCGCGTGGACAACTGGGTTAACTTTGAAATGGAACCGGAACATGCAGCCAAAGTAGGGGCCCTGAAACCGGCTCTAGAAGATCTCATCACCGTCGCCTGCGATAATCCGGCCGAAGTGCTCCACTTGGAGGAGCCCTACGCCAAGCTGGTCAGGGTGGTAAAGGACCTTTGTGCCAAGCGCTCTGGCGATTACAGACTGCAACGCGATACGGGAATATTGCCACACCAGTCACGCCAGTTCAGTGCTGGCGGCGGACCGGCCAAACGAGGTCGCTTTGAAGGCGGCAGCGGTGGACGTTTCGCTCCCAGAGGTTATGGCAACAGAGGAAACGTCCCCTTCGGCAGTGGGGCAGGTCGTGGATATGGCGGAGGAGGATATGGAAATAACAGAGGAGGCTATGGCTACAATAGAGGCTTTGGAAATAGCGGAGGCGGATTTGGGGATATAGACGGTGGTTTTGGGAGCAATCGAGGATCGGGAGGAGGCTTTGGAAACTTTGGAAATGGCAACGGAGGCCCCGACCAAACTGGCAGCTGGGGGCGTTATTAACATATTTAATCTGACAATTTTCAATGAATTTCTCCTAACCAAATAAGCGGGACTATGTGTATTCTTATCATATTTTGAAACAAGTTTATAAAAATGAAAGACATTTGAAATAATCCGAAAGTGTTTTACGGGTCTATGTGCGCCAGTTGGCAACGTCGCAGAAGTACGTAGCGGTCAGTCCGTCTAAGTCCCAGATGCACGCAGGCTTCAAGCTTCATTTAACTTCCGCTAGCAGAGCATCCCTTTCTTTACTGGTTTGTTTCCCCGGACGGCGGGGATGATTCGGTTCTGGATGCCGGCTTTCCAGCGCTTGTAGATGTTGCAATGTGGCTCAAGCTCGTCTGGGCCGATGCGTTGGCGAAAGTCAAAACTTAGGTTCCATCACCAAGATGCGCAGCTTCTCTGACGCCTTCTTGATGGCCACAAAATTGCTCATGAGTTTGGACTTCACCCTGCTGAGTTGTCGTCGGTTATTAAACAAGAGCTCGATTTTGGCAGTTCCTAATTCTGTGTAACTTGGAAACGTTTGCGAGTCCATTTCCATTTTTCCCACGACCCATCAAACTAAACTTTCCATTCTCGGCGCCACTCACCGTTATAGAGCTGGGTCGGCCACTCCAGTATCGAAATATCGAATATTTGGGTTTTGAAACAGTGTTTATTGGTGTTGACACGGTACGTCCCTCAAGCAAAGCCTGATCATATTCTTATTATAATTTCGTTTCTCAACAAGAACTTTTGGTACTCGAAGAAATATTGACTTGCAACCTGTACCTTTTTCTTTTTAACTGGCTATGGAGAAGCTATGTTTAACTTTTTTTATATAGCTTATATACAGTTACAATATTATGTATATTATTATGGATTTTTTTTTCAAATATATTTTTATGTAATTAATGAAACTTAAACGAAATCTTTATATGTTCTGTATAGCTACTTGAACAGATACTTCTTAAAATTGGTCTCAACGCTTATTTTGGGTATTTCTTAAACGACTTTATCTCTAATAATTTCTGAAATTCTGTTAGCGGCTTCATACAAATTCAACTGTCTGAAATTTTAGCAACCCAGAAGCTGCTTAAATTTTTGTTAAATTACTGAAAAGCCAGGTTATAGCCTTTCCACAGAGATACATTTACCACCCACCATCCGTTGAACGGATAAGGTTTTGCCGTTCCCAAAATTTTCCAGTTAGTCCGCCGTTAAAATTTGAAAGACTTTGACGGACTAATTTATGCGATAGTTAGGCGATGTTTCTGCGGTGCAGCCCTCTTTGCACGCAGTCCATCCCTGAAAAACCGTTGGGATTTTTGAATATAGTGAAACTCTGGTTTCCACAGAGCACGGCGGACTAACTGGAATGTTTTTGGAGCGCCAAAGCCTTATGGACCATCCCTTCAACGGATGGTGGAAGGTCGATGAATCTATATACCTTATAAGCCTAGTACTGAGATCGACGAACAGTTTCGCCAGCAAAAAACTTTATTATTTCTAGTGAGACCGAAGTTTTTAGAGCATACTGTCAATCAGCTGGGCTTGTTGACAAACAAATTAATTTGAGGAAACAAAATCAAAGAAATTAAATATAAAAGACGCCAGAGCTAAATTTGGTATTGAAATGGCTTTTACGTATTTTTGTGGTTTTTCCCTCAATTTCGCTTGCAAGCTCAAGTCCAACAACACCAAAGTTGAAATTTTTTATTCTTTTCGCCAGGGCCTGACAAACATTTATCGAGAGTTCATCCCAGACGTCTGGCAACGCTTTGCACATTTCTTCTATATTTTCCGTCGATCTAAGTACCGACGTGCAAAAGGGCACTATCGAAAAGTGTTCGCCGGTTATTTGCCCCTCGCACTCATGAGTGCGAACGGTTTTCCTCGATCTGAGTGTATATAGTGTAATCAAGTCTTGCAACGGGTTATCGATAGAACGGGAACTGCAAGTATCGGAAAAGCGTGACTATTCTTCCTATCATCTCTAGCATTCCCTTCGGCGCGAACTGTCGAACAGTTAGTTTGTTTAATTGTTTCCTACAAAAGTATAACTTTTCACGATTTTGGGTGCATAAGGATACCGAGATGGACTTTGACAATGCAAAGGAGAACATCCAGCCGCTAGCCAGTGGTCGCAACGTGAGCATACTGCAGGCCTCGCTCAGCCAAGACTCTGCGCACAGCCAGGAGCTGCTGGCGCATCGCAAGCAAATGGAGGAGGAGGTGCGCTCATACGCTGGTGAGGATCCACTGGAACCATGGTACAAGTACATCTGCTGGATCGAGCAGAGCTATCCGGCAGGGGGAACTGGCTCCGGTCTGCAGGCGGCCCTTATCCAGTGCCTTACCAAATTTGAGGAGGACGAACGCTACCGCCAGGACAAGCGGCTCATCAGGCTCTTCATCAAATTCGTAAGTGAAAGAGATATTTTAAGAAGAGACCAGCTCACTCACCCACCTTACCTCGTCGTTTGGCAGATGGAGAAGCAGAAGGATCAGATCGAGTTCTATCAGCAGATGTACAACAATGGGATCGGAACCATGCTGGCCGACTTTTACATTGCCTGGGCCTACAGCTATGACCTAAGCGGCAACATGCGCAAGGCCGACGAGATTTTCCGCCTGGGCCTCGAGTGTCGCGCCGAGCCGCTGGAGGAGCTGAGGGAGGCGCACCAGCACTTTGGCTATACGGTGGGCCAGCGCTTGCTCTACACCACTGGCGAGGAGGCCAACGCGGTCAACCAAGAGCTGAACGAGCGGCGGCTGGCGCTGCAGTCGCTGCACGGTCGCCGTCAGCGGGACACCAACATCATTACAGTCGGAAGTGTACGCACCGGGGCCGCGGTTAAGAGCGGCTTGCCAGGATTGGTCCAGGTGGGTGTTATTAATCTGTGACCCTTTTGGGAACCCATCGATTTGCTATAACTTACCTTTGTATGTATATACATACGCAGTTATACCAATAAGTAGAAAATCAGTTCTCAAATTTATTGCAATAATTATTCAAATAACTAATTGCAAAATGATTGAAAAAATCATTACATTCATCCGAAATGCTATGTTGTAGCTATTATATTATTTTCATATTTCCACCAGGTGGAAACCAGTTTAGCACTGTCCTTGTGATTCCCCCTAAAATCTTCTTTATTTTTGAGTTTAACGACTCCAATTTGTTTTTCGTATACCCCACAAGTACTACAACGGATTTAGACCAGAATTTTAATATTTATTTTAGAATTGGTTAGCGGGTATCTAAAAGTCGTTGCACTTGACTAGCGTTTTTTCCTGCTATCGAGAATTTAATGCAAGTAAATTTTATATTTTATGCAGTTCTTGTTGAAGTTAACTTTTGTTCTCCTTCTTATTGCAAAGTTTACATTGTTATGTGTAAAGTTGATACCTCCACAGTTTGGGCAATTCTAAAAAAAAAATAAATTAAAGTAAAGGAGACATTTCCGGACAGGTTTTGAATATATTCGTCCGATCGGCAAGATTTGTTCATTTTCAGTGTATTCATTAAAAGATAAGATTGAAAGTTTCATGACTCTAGCTTTTACACTGCGCAAATAATGAGTATAGAATCGTTTGGTAAGTCTGACAGATATAAGGCAGCCATAGGATATAGTCAACCGACATTAATTCAACTCAAGAAGTTAAGATAAGATATAAGATAAGAAAGGTATAAAATACAACAAAAAATTTTTTTATTATTTTTAAATTTCTAAAAAAAAACATGGAAATTTTACAATTTAAAATTGATTGAATATATATAGCAACTATTGGGTGCAATCAGTTTTTATACCGTCTGCAAGCGCAGTTAAAAAAGGCTAGACTCTTGAAACTTTCGCAATGGTCTTTTCTTATGTCACAGATTAAGTTTGAAATCCACGACTATAGGGATTTATAGCATTTCGGATCCATCTCTGTACTGCTTGGTGTTAATACTTCGGCTTGCCGAAGATAACATCCGATCTTGTTAATTCTAAAACAAATATTCAACTGAACTTTAGATAGACGCTCCAAGCACCAGCGGTATACGCAATGCTCGTCGCAACGTGGAGGTGTTTAACGACGAAAACGCTGAAGCGAATATCCCGCCCCCTGTGTCCGAGTCGGAAGGAAAGTCAAGTCTGCGCTCGATCATTGATGCAGCTCGCGGGCAGGAAAATATCAAGGAACCGGTGGCTTGGAACAAGGCGCATGCGAAGCGCCATAAGCACGGGAAGATCTTTGGCACTAATGCCGCGCCGGACCTGGGTTTTGACATACACGTGGATGAACATGCGAACCCACCCATAACCAACTACGAGCGCCGGTTCGATCAGCCCTTCAGATTTCCTCCAAACTTTGTGGCCAAGAACAAGCCTCAGGAGGTCTGGGTGACGCCTGTTACCATTGAGGACGGTTCAAACGCAAATGGAATACCTTGCTACCATAAGTGCCTTCTTTATCCGCGCCCAAACCTTGAGTTCTCACCTGAGGAGTTCCGTGCTTATGTCCATTTAAAACGCCACCAACCACAGCATCAATTTGTACAACGCAACGACAAGTGGTGGGGCACGGGACAAGAGCTTAGAGGAGTCCGGTGCTATCCGAACTTTGCAAACTCTTCTACGCCGCAACCGAGAGACGAGCTAGATAAGTTTTGGAAGCCCCCGCAGGTGCCGGGCATTCAGGTCGTTTTCGACAAGCTCTACAACGACGAGGAGCAGCAGGAGTACCAATCGGAGGAGCTGCTGGCAGCCAAATGGTGGCAAAAGAGGAATGTCACTGTTCATGGCGACTTTGATATGGAGGAGACCGTCTGCTTGCCCGGGAATAAAATGCCACGCCGCAAAAGTTTTTTCCCCTCTTCCTCCAGAAAATCCATGATGCCGCATCGGATTTCCTCGGTGCAGGAGGAGAACGAGAAGGAGGAGGAAGAGGAAGAAGTTGCGATGGTCGAAGAGAAAACAGCTCCTGCACCACTTCCGTTACCCCAGACAGCAGTTGCAGCTCAGTTGCCAGTTGTATCCGAGCACAAAGTGGAGCCAAATATTGAAATATTTGAAGATTCAGTTGCATCGCCAGATCACTTTGCGGTACCGGCTCCTCCTGTTCGCAAAATAGAGATCTATGAAGATTCGGAAGGCTCGCTGCCAACGCCAAAAACTAAGCCATCAGAAATCGGACCTTATTTTGACGGGGAAGAGACGTGCTCCACACAAATGTTCAACATGTTCATAAAATCTCAAGCCGTTAGCACGCCCAAAGGCACACAAAAGCAAGCACCGTCACGCCAATTTGGAAATTTGCTTAAAGAACTACCACCACCGGAGGAGCCAGCTCCTGTTCCCGCTGCCGAGTCTCCTTTGCGAAAGCAGCTGTCCACCATTCTGGAGACCTCTGAGCATGGCACTCAAAGCTTGGCGACTAGCTGCGCCACCACCAAGTCCACCATTACCAATTCGTCTTCGCCGGGATCTAACACAGTTTCTAAACTTGCAAGCAAAAATGAAGAGTGCACTCCCGGACAAATGCGCCTGCAGCGAATACCTGGTTTATCCGCGGCCGTCGTGGAGACGGAGAAAACTGGTGGCGACAACTTTTCCCGCCGCGAGTTATGGGAACCCAATGCCCCTAGCCTGCCGATGCTTAAGTCCATGCACTTTCAGGAGGATAAGACAGAAACGATTCCTAGGCCTCTTGCCTTCTTCCAGGAAGAGAAAACCGAAACGCTGCCACGAATGCCCACCCATCTGTCACAGGTTTCTTTGCTTCACCGCTCGGTGGTTGATGGACAATTTTCAACGCAACCAGAATTTCCTACTCAAGAAGACGAAAACGATTTGTGTGGATTTTTCGGGAAGACACCGCCAAAGGTAACGAATTTTGGCTCTTTAAAGCGCCTTTGCGAACAGACCACTACCGATCCCTTTATGTCGATGAAATGCACCCAGGAGGCAAAGAACTCCTTTGCGTTGGACACAAGTAAACCGGGATCGGCTCTTACTATCAGCAAGCTGGAGGATTCCATCATGACCGATCTTTCTTTTGTGCCCGAGACACAGCCTGGGACTGTGCCTAAGCCAACAACGGAAAACCAATTCGAAATCTTCCTTGACGAGTCGCAGGAAGAGGTTACCGCTTCAAAAAAGGTAGCTTCACTGGCCACCGGTCTTGCCTTGGACTGCACGCTGTCAGAAACGCAGCCGTCAGAAACAAAGAATGCAGAGAGCAAGCAAGATACTGTTGGGCAACCCCACATGATTGCCTCGTTCATGAAGGATTGCATAGAAATAAGCCACTGTCCTTCAGAGCTACCACCTCCGTTTGTCACAACTAATCCCGCAAGCACTGCGTCGGTGCCCAAGTTTTCTAGCAATTCCATTTCAGAATCAAATGATAAATCAGGTGGTGCAAAGCAGACCGATAAATTTTTTGAGCTCAACGCAGCCACTGAGATGTTTGCTACCAACATTAGTATGATCAAAAATTCCACGCTGCTACCTCCGCCTGCAAAGTTAATTCTTCCTGTAGAAGAAGATGAGACCGCGGAGCTAAGTATATACTACAAGACAACACCGGTGACCCCAAAGCAGTCGCACCGTTCCTGGTCGCGGTCTGATTTAGAAACTCCTCCGCGGGAGCGGTTTGTTCACCCCAAATCCAGTTTAGACCAGTCCGTACTGAACGAAACGGTGGCCGACCCCAACAGGAACCCATTTAAAGTAGAGCTAATTAGCTCGCTACTCGAATCAATAGACTTCTCCATGTACATCGAAAAGCTGCCCCACTGTCATCTTGTGGGTCATGTTAAGCGCCTGCATCCTAATTCCCAGCTGGAGGTGCTCAACGAGAAGTTCGAAGTGTCCAAAATGATAGGAAAGGGAGCATACGGTTCGGTTTATAAAGGACGACATCTCAAATCCGGCAAGAAGGTGGCCCTCAAGCAGGAACTACCGACCAACTACTGGGAGTTCTATATATGCCTGGAGGTTCACAGCCGTTTAACCAGTGAGCAAATGGTGAGCTTAAAAATAACATCTAGTTATAATGCGGGCGAAGTTTCTTGAGGATTTGACCCAGAAATGATACAAATGAAAATATTCGCAGTAAATATTTACAATTTCTTTGTTTTTCTTAATATGTTTCATGGCGGATTCTAATTCAATACACGTCAATATCTGTATTGCTTGCTGGGCACTGTGAAAGTTATGTGTGTTCTTTCAAAGCAATTTGAGCTAGCTTTTCTCTTGTCTTATCCTTCAGGGAAAGTATTTTTGTATTCCATTTTCTTTTGCTAAAACGGTTTATTTTGTTTTATTTTAACTTTGTTTTTTAAAATTTTGAAATTTCCTAAACTCTTGATTTAACAAAATAATGGTAAGCAATAACACAGGCAACATGGTTTTTGGTATAAGTCAGCGTAGATTTTCGATGTGGACCCACGATTTTCATAGTGTGCGTTGTCTGTGTTTGAGACATTGTTTGAGTTAGTGTGTTTTTAAACACGCTCCTGCAAATCTAAGTCTTAGCACCTTATCTTGTCGACCGCCTCCTAAGTGGCATCGTGGTGTAGTGGTCAAAGTCTGAGTCTGGCTTCAGACAAGTTTTTAATTAATTATTCTCTATATTTACTTTTAGTTTGTTTTTTGCAAATAAAAAATCCTTTGGGAGCCTTTGGGAGCTTTTATTTGCATTCATACATTTTTTATTGCAAATTTTTAGGTTTTACGTTTTTTGTTTGTTTTATATGTTTTTTTCTGTTTGTTTTTATTTTTAGATTCTTTTTTTTTTGTTTAATTTTTTTTTTGATTTATTTGTTAAAAAAATTTTTTTTTATGCATGTGTTTTTTTTTGTTTATAAATTAGCATTCCTTGGCGGAAAACAGAAAAATACTAATAACTCAATGTATTAAATTAAAAGAAAACAAAGGAAGCAAACTTTGGCAAGCCGTAGTTCACACAGCCTTGCAGCTATTTCAAAATTAAATATTCTTGAAAACATTAAAATCATCAAGAGCAGCGGAGAGCACTTAATTTGTGAGTAATTTGCACGGCGAAACTTGTCAATGAGCGTGTGCCGACAGCGGTTTTATACTGTACGTGTGTGCTCTGCAAAAGATAGTTCGGCAGATGGCGCCAGCTACAACCCGATTATTTTCTGTGGGAATCTTTATTTTAGAATTTATAAGCTGAGTATCGGGTGTCTAATAGTCGGGGAACTCGACTTCAGCGATTGTGGAGCCCATATAATTGGATTTTTTTGGCTGAAAAACACTCTTAATGCACCACCGCTATTTAAAAAAAGTACCCGGCTTGAATCTATAATTTTACATACATTTTTCCAATCGTAAAGTGCCTATAAAAACATATCTTCAAAGGGATCGATTTTTTTTCAGAATCTACATCACTGTATGTGTTGTTCTTTCGGATTAAAAAATATTTATAAATATATTTAGCTATTTTATGTAGTATATTTAGTTGTTTTTTTTTTTTAATTTATTAGATATTTGTATTATTTTTTATTAGATTTAGATTTTAGATTTTTCCCACCCTATAAATGTTTATGTATTCTTCATCACCATCGCTAGGAGAGTCGATCTAGCCATATCTGTGTGTCCGTCCGCCCGTTTCTACGCAAACTACTTTCTCAGTTTTAAAGCTATCTGCATGAAACTTTCCCAAGAGTTCTCTTTCTGTTGCAGGTAGAATATAAGTGCGAGGCGGCTATAGAAAGCTGTACCATTGAAACAATCGTGAAAAAAAGGAAAATCCAATTAGAACTGCTGTTTTTTAATTTGTTAGATTTTTTAAAGCAAAGTATCTCAGAAAAAAAGGTTATTATATAGAGCATATGTAAGACACTTTGTAACTAATAAGTTTGAGACCTTTTTTCGCTTTTATTATTTTTTTACTTTAACCATTTAAATAATGATTATAATTATGAAATAAAATTCTGAACCAAAATATTTACAGATTCCAGCCTACGCACAAATTGATTATGCGCTGGTAGGAAACAATTCCAGTGTATACATATCTGAGTTTTCAGAATACGGTTCCCTAATTGGTGTTTGCAACAAGGTTAAGAGTGTCACCAACAGAAATTTGGACGAGTATGTGGTAATGCATCTGAGCTGCCAAATGCTTGATATTGTGGATCATTTGCACGCCATGGGAATCATTCATGCCGACATTAAGCCGGATAACTTTCTGCTTATGAGACCGTAAGCACAGTTAGCGAACAATTTCTAACATTTTATTGCGGAATTGATTTATTCCTTTTTTTTTTAGGTTATGTGCGGATCCAAACGAACTGAGCCTGCAACTGATTGACTTTGGTGTGTCCATCGATATGAAGCTCTTTCCGAACAATCAGACATTTAATTATGTCCATCAAGACAATCTGTTCAAGTGCATTGAGATGCGAACCCAGCGCCCGTGGACATTCCAGCTTGATTTATATGGCTTGGTGAGCGTCATGCACGCGTTGCTTTTTGGTCGTTACATGGAGGTGGCGCAACGAGCTTCGACCAGTGTTTGGATGCCAAAAACTACCGTTCCGCGTTACTTTCAGCGGCAAATGTGGGAGAACATTTTTCGAACTTTGCTGAATGTTCGCGACTGTCGGACTATGCCAAACCTTCAACAGTTGCGTACTCAGCTTAAATATGAACTCGTCGAGAAGGAGAAATATGTTGAAGAGGCCATCAGCAAGTTCAATATGATACTACAAAAATGACTTTTGCTATTTTTTTTTGTCTGCAATTGTCCCTCCTATTTTAAATGATTAATAATATGTATTATAATAATGAGCATTAAGAATACTAGTTTATATAATCTTGTTTCCCCATTAACAGTTTTAATAAGTAAAAAAAGAGCAAATTGAGTGGTTTTGGGGATGCCGAGCTGCGGGCAACCAACGGTTCATAGGTTATGGATGGCTATCGTCGTGCGTCCACATGGCTATTGTATGCTCGATTGAAGAACACCAACAACATTCTTCAAAGCAGCTAGCGCCACCGGAGAATTTGCCGACTCCAGCGCCAACGAGTTGGCACACGAAGTCGTGGCCTCTTGTGGGGAAACGACGATAGGACTGTGATGGCATTGGGCACCTAAGAATTCAATAATGTTCATGAGCTCAGGAAAGCAATACGAAGCAATAAAAGGAAAGGTAGCCTTATAGGCCGGATGATCTGAAGGCAGTGAGGTCCTTGGGGAAGATAATTTAACCATTACTATTTTTATTTGAATTTATACATATCAATCCTTTTGATCAATATCAACTTTCAATACCGCACGGGAATCCGACAACGCCTGTCATTCCTAAGAATTAAACCCCAGAGGAAAACAAAAGCGACTCTTGAGGAACGGTATTATCTAATTTATTAACTCCTCACTGGCAAGAACTTTGGGGGCTGTGTCGGGTCGGGAACACCTACAAGACAGATAAGTTCACGTCTAAAGAAAAAGAGACCCTCCAAATTAACCAATTAATAAATGCTCGCGGGTTGCTTGAAAGCTGAGCCTTTTTATATAGATCGACGAATTTTGTAAATTAACGAGAAATTTACGAAGGTTAGAAAAGTAAACATTCCCACCTTCATCTTGCAGATTACTTAACCCTCCTTCTTGTGAACTTACCACATATTTTGACGAAACCGCATGTATTCATGCAAGTGGTAATAAACAACATCAACAGAAAGAGCAAAATTCAGACTTAAATTTAAAAAAATTTAAAAATTTAGCTCGAAGGACCAAAATTCCTTCGCAGTCATTAGGCAAGTAGCCGCATCAACAAATCAATTGTTCAGAAAACAGTGGATGGGACAGTAACAAATTCATCATTAGTTGACTTCAGCTCAACTGATTGAAATCTTCTAAAGATCATGGTAGGTAATAGTTGACTCTCTTGTTTTGGGCGCCGGTGGCTTTTCATGCGTAAAAGGGCTCCATTCGCGGTGGCGGCTTTTCGTGGCTATCGTCCGGATTTCTTTCCCAGTCTTCAAGATAGGTGTGGTTAAAGACAAAGGGCAGTTCTTTTATAGTGGAAACCCAAGTTCAACGATACTCCTGTAGATGTATCAAATTAAGCCATGTGCTCCGCCTTGGAACACCAAGCAATCAGACATCCAGGCAGACTTGCAGGAAAGTTTGAGCGCACTGCCTGTAGTGTAGCTTCATGTCTATCATTGAAACCTGCTTGATGCCATCCAAATGTTCGTTTGGTAAGAGCAAGCCAAATTAGCCTTTTAACATGAGATTAATATAATTTTGGATCAACCTTATTGCACTGCTCACTTGTGCAAACAGCCTGAAAAATTACACACAAAGATGTAGCCACCTGTCTGCAATATTCAATGCCGTGTGCTTGCAGTAAATCCCTTACTTACTGCGAGTGACCCAAGAAAATTGCTCCCAGCTCTCCATTACTTTATATTAGCCTTCTCAAGAAGAGGTTAAGTGGTCCCTTGATTAAATCGTTACCCGGTCTTCTTTTGACTGACAGGCTAGAAGAATAAATATCCATTTAGCTTGTAGAGGCACGGCTTGTTCTCACACGCAACTAAGCTTACGAACTTATAGATGTTCTGTATATTTCTGGAATCAGAATGTATTTTGATACTAAAGCACCTAGGACGTTAAACTGCTTTTTGGGTTTTCCAGTTTGGCTAATCTTTGGCGAACCAGGCCCTAGACGTAAGTCCAATACTTTGTTATCCTCATCCTTTACATCCTCGTCCTCATCCTTGACGTCTTTAATTTCGGCTTTTTCTGATGGGCTTTCATACTGATTGGAGCTTTCACCAGAGCTGTCATCTTCACCAGTATTTCTGGAGCCGTTGCCTCCAATCATTTCGGTCTCCGAAAAAAAATTCGAAAATAGTCTTATGATCGTCAGCTACCACGTCATGATGCTCATCTTATAGCAGTTGCATCGTAAAGACGGTCTCCTTTGACTGCTATCGGGTATCTAACCATTGTATACTCTGCCTTATCACCTGCAACAAAACAAAACAAGCACATGAAATTGACAGCGCTGGTACGAGAGCGATTTCGCAAGTAAACTGTGTAGACGTCCTCAGCCCACAAGGAATCACCTAATCCTGACTGCACGTGACCATTCCATTCCACTAGTCTCCTGTTAGCCCTTTCAGCAACTCCGTTTTGCAGCTACAGTAAGCATCCTAACGATCGCGTTTTGCCTGAAAAAGTCAAAGAACTTCTTATTGACAAATTTTTCCCCGTTGTCACAACGAAGACATTTCATTTCATATCAGTTTACCGTTTAACAAGACTCTTGAACACCTTGAACTGTAGGTGAATCTTACTGAGCATGCAGGTCTAGCACTTGGCGTTCCTCGGAAAATCCATGTACTCCACATCACGCATCTTACCTTTGAAACAATTTACCTCTGACTGGAGAAATTGAGGTGACCGTAACGCATTCGCCTTCTTGCACTACCTGTTGTTCACTGCTAACCGCCAATCGACGATGTCGATACATTTTCGCTACATAGAGCACTTACTTCCGCTATTTAACGTCAAAAAATTCGGCATCGGCAAAACCTATAATTTCAGTGTGATTTTCAAATTTAGTGAAAAGCTCCCTGTCTAAAACAACACATCGAGTTCTTAATATTGATTGCGTTCAACGCATTAAGCAAATTGCAATGCCGATTTAAAACCCCGTTATTCGGCTTGCGACTAGAATTATCTTATTCTATAATTTGTGGACACTGAGACACTCGACAACCAAATAATTTGTGTTAGTTCTGAACTAGACCATCCAAAACTTTTACAAATTCTTTGATGTATTTCCTTATACCTTGACCTTGCCCCTTTCGCTTTCCCAGTACCAATTACTTTCGTACTGGTCCAATTGTTGCCCAAGCCTTTTGATTCTGAGCATTCAAATCGACTTCTCAGAAGCATTTGTACATCTATTCTCCGGATGTTATACTCCACAATCCTGAATGAACCAACACGAGTCGCATTGTATGCTCAACGAATTATAATTATTGTCTTTTTACTTGTCCATTTGATAAAGGCTTATCATATTTGCCTTTTGAGTTTGACAATGTTTTATACATTCAAACGCTCTTTCGATTGTACCCTGCCTGGGTCCATAACCTATTGGTGCTGCTAATCGAGAAACACAAACCGCCTTGCGTGTATTCATAAAGCGTAGGGTATTTTATATACCCTTGAAGCTTGCAAAAACGGTGATTTTTGGGCTGTTAGCGTCTGTAAAGCATATGTTATCGCAGACCGGCGTCTTGTGAAAGTTAATAGATTGATAGATTCGTGAAGTGAAACAAGGTATTTGAAGCTGAATTAGCCTAAATTGAGTGCTGTAAATATTTACCTTGCCAGTTTCGGAAATAATAACACAGTTAATTTTTGATAGGGATAAAACCAAAAGGTTTATGGGGTTGTGTGCAGTGTGAAACAAAATTCACTTTCACACAGGTTAAAAAAAATAAGTAAACAGCATTATACAAAAAGTAATGTTCTCAACAAAATTGGACAGTATGGTGGTCTGTGTGTCTTGAATGGGAAAGGGGGGCATTAGTATAGCCTTGAAAAGCAGTGTTTTTGCTGTTAAGGCGAAGAGCCACCTCCTCTTCTTGGCTTTCTGGCGGGTAGCAGCACAAGTCGCCATTATATATGGCTTCCAGGTGAGCCGCCTGTCCAGAGTAAGACAAAGGTATTTAAACCTGTTGCAATATTCCACCGAGAAGCCCATGCTTCAAACTCATTTAGCATGTCCTGCACCATGTGTGTCGCCTCTCTTCGGGAAGCACTGGTCGCCAGAAGCGCAATGTCATCGGCATACTTAGCTGTGGGAGTATGTCTACATCTAGGTGAAGGAAGATCCGATGTGAGAATGGCGTAAAAAACAGGGCCGAGCACACTTCCTTGAGGAACTCCATCCAGTATAGGCCGTGTTGCAGAAGAAATTAACGGAGAAGATTGAAGTATGTCAAGGAAGAAATGGCTCAAGCTTATAGAGTAAGCCACAGTGACAAACACGATCAAAGGCTTGTCTCACGTCTAAAATACTACGCAGCAATACTCTTTCGACTCAAAGGCTTTCAGAACATGATTAAGCGCTCGATGCATCTGTTCAGCAGCACCATGCAGACCTCAAACTGGTGATCGGGGATTGCGTCATAGAAAGGATCAAAACTTAGAAGCCGTTTGAAGAAAATGCGCTCGAATTTCTTGGAGATGGTCGGTAGAAGGCTTATAGGCCGGAATGAGTCGGCACAGCGGTGGGGGACACCTTTTTAGGGATCATAACAACTTTAGCGTTCTTCCATTGCTAACGATAAAAGGAAAGAGCTATCATAGCATTAAAGATGAGCCTTATTTTCCCATCAATACTGTCATTCCCAGGTGCTTTATTCGATTTAAGCCGCTTGATTTGGACTTTAACTTCCTCAGCATCAATAGGCACAATTTCCAGATAAGGAGCAGATTGGACTTCATCAAAAGCTGCCGTAGCTGCAGTTTCCTCTGACGTGGAGAAAAAGTTTAAAGTTGATAAGCAAGAGTTTCACGAACATTTTCTGATCGTTTCACCTGACTTCTTGGACGTAAGGTTCATAAGCAGAATTTTGAAACAACGTTGAAATTTAAATATAAGGGTGTCAAAAAAGTCTTGCGGTATTTTCGCTAGGTGTCGTTGCAAGCGCGTTCTTCTAGTTGTATTAATGTTATAGCATGTTGGAAAGGTATGTAACAGTACGACAAAGGCAAAAGTGCATCTTAAGCCACCAATAAAATTTATGCAGTTTATGGACCCAGTATAGTTTCTATTTCCAC